AGGCATGCCATGACAGGTATGTGCCTTTGTTTGCTCTGATTAAAGTAAAGCAGCCTCCTGTTAGAGACCTAGACTTAATTCTGAGTTTTTCACAACTTCACGTTAACACACCAAGCCTGACCTGCAGAGATCCACTCAAGCATGTGACTGAATCATCCCAGCGTCTGTTTGTGCATTGATGTAGCGATTTGAATGCACACAGCATTATGTAAAGGTTACCAACAGAAAAATGCCTTTAATGGCAAAATAAACTAATATCAATGTCTCTTTGATGTCATCTGGAGAGCAGCTGAGTCTCTGAAACGGTCTTTTCCCTTTGCAACTGCAGGCAGCGCTGAAGACAGGAGGAAACAATGAAATTCAAAAGAATGAAAGAAGAGAAGATGAAAGAGAAACTTATGTTCTCCAGTCATGCACATTTGTTGCTGCACAGCTTCTGCAGCAGTTTGGACTTTCTGAACACTGATTGCTCTAAAAGTTAAGAATTAGATCTAATCAAATATTGTTTTAATTACTTATTACTGTGATTTTGTTTGCAAAAAAAGTGGAAGCACGTTTTTTGTTGACGTACAACTCTGTGATTGTTGCCCTTTGCTGAAAAGCAAAAGGTGGGCCATCATGTTTGTGTTCCACAAATCAAATGACAGGTTTTAATAAAATTGTATTAAACTAATCATTTGATAAACACCACCTATTATCTTTTGCAGAAAGCCAAATTAAAGATGGCTGCCATAACTAATCATCATTAGGATACACAAACATGACAATTAGTCAATATTACAAATAGTAAAGCTCTCATTCACTCATTATTTCAAGACATTTGCTGTGGTCTCTAGTATAAATAAATAAATAAATGCATTTTCAGTTGATCTCTGTGAGAAAAATTTTCTGGCACTTCTGTTTCAGGAAGTAGAAGTCAGCTGGAGGAGTGGGGGGTGAAAAACAGCAGGATTTGGAGTCTTGCTCATTATTATACATGATATTCCTTCTTAGTGGCCTAGTGGTAGAGTGTCTGCCCTGGGACTGGGAGATCAGGGATCAAATCCTGGTTGGGTCATACCAAAGACTCTAAAAGTTGGGACCCAATGCCTTCTTGCGTGACACTCAGCTTTAAGGGTTAGATTAGTTCCCGAGCGCAGCCACAACTGCAGCTCACCACTCCCCGTGGGGAGGGGTCATATGTGGAGATGAATTTCATCAGTGTGTGATGACAAATGGGACTTTAACTTTATTCGAACATCTTGCTTCTGATTGGCTCACAGCAACGCGATTCTTCCACTGTCTCCATTTGCTCTGCAACATTCATGTGTTATTTCCACAAATAACACAAGCATATACTTTTTGAACCATGCTGTCGATTTGCTAATGCTAACAGTTAGCTTCTACTAGCCGAGCCGTGCTCTGCTCTCTCCTGGCTGCAAAAATCAAAAACAGCCTTTCCCAGTCGCGAGCCAAGATGGTTGAGTCCATGCATGCTAATTTACAGTGTGACATAGATGTGTGTAGCTTTTTCTGAGCCAAGTGTTTTCCTGTCTGTTTTGTGGCAGGCAATGCAAGAAATGGGGGTAGAAGACAATTTTAACACCCAGCTTGCATCTGCAGAGTGACTGATCGTGTTTCAAAAACAAGTATAATGGTTTCTGGGTAGTTTAGGGGCACAATATATACTATCTTTCTAAACTAGATGTAATCTGAGGGACAGTGTGACATTTATTGCAGCAATACACAAAGAAAATTGATGATTTTCTATTTCTACTCTCCAAACAAATATCTAATGATGTACTGGAAAACATCTTGACTAATTTTTTAGAAAGTCTTCTTCTGAGATCTCCTTCATCATTCTGCCTTTCTCCAACACCCCCTCCCCTCACATTCCAGTGATACCGTCTCCTCCTCCCACCTGACAAAGCATGCATTGTATCAGAGATGCTGTTTAACATGGAGTCCCTCTCAGTGTCCCTCATATTGAGCAACTCATTGACCTAAAATGAGCTTTTTTTTTCATGCAACTCAACCATTGGCCAATCAACATTTCCATTAAAAAACCACTTAGACTCTTTTGGACACTAAACTTGTCTTTGATTGGCTCTAGATGCTCTGACTGTGTGTATGTTTCTTTCTGCACATTTCCCTGCACGTGTGTGTCGGCTTCAGTTAAAAACAGCTGATTAAAACAACTTGACCTTGACTGCTTGCTGAGAAGTCAACAAATATCTGCCAATCTCAAACTCTCTCACACTCTTTTCTTATTTACTTTTGTATCTTTCTGCAAGGTGAAGGATCCTGACAGGAAAGGAAACAAAAAAAAAAAGTTCATTGTTATTTCAGCTGACTCAGAAGTAAAGGAAATCTAACTTGCGTTTGCTTTGAGTGTGTGTGGAAAAGCTCAGATTAGTTCAGCTGCCACATGCAGGGGATCAACTGATGTTTGTTTGCTGAGGAGCAGGATATGAGCAAGAGACAAGGAAGGACTGCGAATTGGAAGCAGGAAAATCTGTGATATATAACATTTCTGGCTCCTGAGGACAAGAATATGTTGGATAAAAATGAAAGTGAGAAAGTGAGGCTTTGAAATGAAAAACCAAAACTTAGAATGGAAAACAGAAATGGATGTAAAGACTGAGAATCAGGAGATAAACTAACTTTTGTTTTCTGCATGACAGAAGAATTTATTGTATATCTGCTCAATGTTGTTCTCACCAAGCCAAAAGGTCCCAGTTTGTGATGTCACAAATAATGGAAAGTAGACTAGAACCACCTTGTGAAAAAGATCCATCCATCCGTTTCTGTCAGTGTTTGACTTCGGGAAACATGTGCCTAAAATAATCCATTTAAAAAAAGTCCCCGTTTGTGATGTCACAATTGGGGAAAATAGAATAGAACCACCTCTCACATGCAAACGAGAGCTGCTTCTGGAGAGGCAGCAGCTCTACTCAGCCCCTCGGAGCTTCTTAGCCTGTAAAAGTCTGAGAGATGGGTGAGTGGGTGCGGCCAGCTCCAGCTTGTTTTCTTAAAGTGACAGAGTCATGAAATGGCTCATTCTGGAAGGTACTGAAAATGTCAAGAATAAAACTGCTGAAATCTCTTTATGTGAGGGATTTGTACAAAGAACCTCATCAACATGTTTTGTATCAACTATAGAACGTTCAAAAGTCATCATTTGTCCCCTTTAATATTGTTCTCTAGTAAGTTCATTTTTAAGCATCAGCTAGCTATCTCGAGACTTTTATTTTGAATGATTATAGGAAGTTATTTGCCTTCTTCAGGAGATAGATAGATAGAAATTATAAATAACATAACAAATGACAAAAGGATAACAAAAAACACAGATCATAGATAAAACGCTTTTATATGGAAATTTTTAAGTGTTTGGGCAGTTTTTTGTTTTTATGTTTTATTTAATTTGACTAAGGATGTGTTACATTTTTACTTAAGAGACTAAAGAGGGAAAAGATTCATAATTAAAAATGTTTAAAGATGAATTAACTTCCATCAGAGAGCAGAAAACGTTTAGGATTAATACTGAAGGTTTCTGAATTACGCACTAATCTGGTCAGAGAGGCAGAGCTCTTGAAAAATATGACACATGCTTTGAAAGGGTTAAATGTGTTTGTAGGTTTCCACAAATCAGCCATATTATACTTTTTTCTTTATTTTAATTTTGCCTTCATTTTATTATTGACTTATTTTTTACTTAAATAGTCCATAAATAAACAAAATGACTTTATCCATGTAATTATTTCCAGATTGAATTTAAGGACATGTCTTATTATATTGTTTCCAGCGTCAGCTCTAATGTGCTGAGGATAAAACTCTTTTTAAAAGTTAATTAACTCACAGAATAAAGCGCTTAACCAAACTGCTTACCATAACTGAAAGTGAACTGGCCACTTCTGTCATCCTGCAGGAGCAGATCGGTCACTTCCAGAACGTCTCCTTTTGTGGTGATCCCAGTCCTGACTGCATACATTCCCCTTCCACTGACCAGGCTGCGAGTCCTCTGTTGCATTCAGACACACCGACACAAGTTTCAAACCTAAAATTAAAAGTAGAAAGAAAATGAGAGAGAAGCCGGGGGCCTCGGTCTAGAGCGACGTGTAGAGGAATGCAACAACAGCTGGAAGCAGAGTTGGACAGAGAACAAGGGGAGGGAGTCTCCCTGACACTCCTGACTCACACACACACACACACACACACACACACACACACACACACACACACACACACACACACACACACACACACACACACACACACACACACACACACACACACACACACAGAGGATAATATGCAGGTGTTAACGGACCCACACTTGACCTCTCCTGAATGAATGAATGGTTCAGAGAGAATCACCTCAGACTGACTGAGGGAATAAGACCCAAGCAGGGGAAATTCTTTCAGACTCCCTGAGTTTGGCAGCAGAAGATAAGAAACCAAGATTAGAAGAATGTTTACTTAATGATGAGATACAGTCTGCTCTCCTGTCACATAGCATAATCCAGCCTTCATGGTGTCGACTTTCCATAATAGGTTACAGAAGAGAGAAGAAAACCCAAGAGATACGGTCTGAGATAGAAAAAGTTCACCAATTTCAGACTTTCCAACAAATAAGAAGTGTTTTAAAATCTTTAAATAAATAAAAGCTGATTTAATTTTTTAACGTCCTTGTGCGTTCTCTTTTAAGCGAATCTGCACTGACAAGATGTGCTGTTTGCCAAAGCCAGCCTCTGATCTGACCAATGGGAGACGGTTTGTGGATGCGATGAGGCAATCATCATCCAGCTACTCAAACATCTTTCTTGGCAGCTTCAGAGGCTGGTTATCATCCACTGTGTCTCATGTCCAAACCCTTTTCATTGCATGTTATAGTCAATTTGATGCTGCTTTTCCTCCGGTTGGAACCAAACTTTTTCCTCTGCCTCATATCGCCCCTTAAAGGCTCAACGTTAATAAAACTGTGCTAAAAAAACTGAATTTGAATTTAACGCATTACTTACAGGAATAAGTCTGAGGCCAGTCATGAATTAGACTGTTTTCAGAAGGCCCTTATTTTATTCGTTTATTTCATTCAAAATAAAAACAAATAAAACACATAAACAATAGGATATACATAACAACAAAAAATCTAATTTGAACGAAAAGGAGCAGAATGAAGAAAAACATCTCATAATTTCTGCCCCCTTTTCCAGAAGAAATCATCTATTTATATACAATTTCCATTTGTCAGACACACATACAGATTCATTTTAAACTTTTTCCTGTTCTAAATTCCAGTGAGATCATGATCGTTGATTTAATTTACATTTACAAAATTATTTAGTATACTCAATTTGGTACATTTTTGAATATATTAAATGGCAGGGTTTTTTAAATTTCCCTTTTAAGGTTATTCCATAATTCAACACCATTTACAGATATATTCCACTCCTTAATTTTACTTCTAAATCTGGGTTTTGTGAACACATCAGTTTCTTTCAGCGTGTAATTACTAGTTCTCTTTTCAAATATCCCCTGAATGTTTGTTGGCAGAGTACCTAAATTGGCTTTATACATGGTTTGTATGATTTTCCAGTCTTTTAAATCATGAAATTTCTGTAATTTATATTTAATAAACAATGGGTTCGATGGATCTCTACAGCCACTATAACTGATTATTCTCAGAGCTCTTTTCTGTAAAATAAATAAGGGTTGTGTATAGTTTTTGTATGTTGCTCCCCAGATTTCTACACAATAAGTCAAGTATGGAACAATCAGTGAATCGTACAATGCCAACAAACCAGAATTAGTCAGTAAAAACTTGACTCTATGTAATACTCCTAAGGATTTGGCAATTTTACCTTTTATGTAACTAATATGGGATTTCCATGTCAAGTCTTCATCAATAAGAACTCCAAGAAATTTAGTTTCTTTTACTCTTTGAATTTCGATCCCAACGCATCATAATAAAATAAAATTAGCCAACTTGCATAGCTTGCAGGGATGCTATTTGAATACTAAATACTTACGGTGTCCTTTTAAATGATGCAGTCCCGAATAAGCTGAACATTTTGATGCCAAATCTGCTGAAATGGCTGAAAAACTGAAGAGGGAGCTACACAGGATGGAGAAACAGGAATACTATAGTTTGAAAGGTTAAAGGTGTGTAAGGTAAGAGTGACATCTTGTGGTCACATTTGGCAACTGCAGTCCACGTATCAAAACAAACGAGTTCACTCTCAGCACCAGTTACAGATCAGCACCAGAGGATTCTAGGTGAGTGAAGACGAGTTATGCACAGTAAATTGAGAAGTAGATAAATACATTTCTCTGTAACTTCACGTTGTCGGTAATTGAAAAAAGTAGCTTGAGATAGAGTAGGGTGACCATTCGTCCAGATTTACCCGGGACAGTCCAGATTTTGAGCTATCTCCTCTTGTCCCAATTCGACATGCCACATCTCCAGTTTGCTGATGGATTTATGAGGAAATTGTGTCTTTATCTCAAAGAAATATAGAATTTTTTGGAGACTTGAGGATAATTTTCTTCTCAGCGTTTCACTTTTATGCATGATAGACCATTTTCAGCCACAAGTTGCTTTTGCAGAACTTTTGAAGATTGCCTCTGGGGGTTCAGGTGGGCGTCCTCAAGAACGAGAGCACATAAAAACAAACAGTTAATATGTTTCACTTTTATTTGAGGCTCTAATCTAATCAGCTATCACTTGTGTTGGGCTGCTCCCAGCACAAGTTATGTGTACCATCTAAAAAATCTCTGCAGCGTGTTTGGTCATGCACTACTCTCCACAAGGCACGAGCACATGCCATCAGACAGGGAATTTCGTTAGTCAGACTTTTCTTCATATTATTATTGGCAGCTGTCCGTAAAATCCAACACGAGTCGCGCTGAGTCAAATGAACTGTGATTCATAAAGAATTTTGCTTTTGCTGCACACATAAAAGCATCTGTTCAAGCGTGAGGTGCATCTAATGGAGTATCTGATGGATGATGGAATAAAATAATCTGGCTCCAGTGATCCTTACAACCTGTGCAGCAATTGTCAGATTAGTCAACCCGTGGATCTTCAAACCGCCCAAACTTTACAAAGCCAGCAGCTTCCCTTTTAGTATTTGCATGTCACGGGGGCTCCATGCACATTCACAGTCTTTACGGCTTATTTACTAAAGCATGCTTTGAAAGCTTTGCAAAGAAATGAGGCTATCTAGGTTAAGGTTACCAGAAAATAGACTAATAGCTCCTTTTAACTTCTCTTGTCAAGTGTTTCCAGAAGCTATTAAACCAATCTGCCTTCATGGGTGGCTGCAAGCAGTAGAGCTGCTGAGCCTTTCCCAGTGACATCATCTCAGAGCCAGTGGGTCAAAGGGAGCCACCAAAGTGTTGGATGGCATTCCTGAAAGAATTCCTCTATTCCCGTGTGACCCTAGAAGGCTATGTTTCTGTGTTTGAAGAAAAAAGTCAGGTTCATTCAGACATTTCCGATTTGGTTTTGGAGTTCGTATCATTTCTTGTCTGTGATTCCAAAAAACAAAGTCTCACCAGTGCTTTAAATTAAAATCAAACCAATGTGGATGTTTGTCCACATTTTGGTGGATTTCTACCACTTTTGCTCAGTTTTCTGTCTTTCAGAGGAAGGCTCATAAGATCAGTATTTTTACAGCTGAGTAAACACCAGTCACCATATATTATGTAAGGGAATACTGACAATATTGCACATATTCAACAACCAGGATATGTCTAGTGTGCGACTTCATGCAACGGAAATAGCTGCTAAATTAATCTAAACCACGCTTCCCCATCTGTTTAACGTTAAACGGATCATAAATACTCATGATACGGGTCTTTAAAAAAATTAGACACTGTGGCGATTCTCCTGCCACTGACGTGCCACCAAACGGCTCCGTGTTTGGTCATGAAACAGGTCTACTAATGATTTATGTAGTGAAATATTTCCACCAGACCGGAGGTGCAGAGTGGAGGGGAATAGAGGATGGATTTGGTGGATTAGATGACCACAGATTGACTTCACGTAGTCGGGTATCCCACAAAAAATGGGTGGCAGAGGATATTCGGTTCCACAAAAACCAGGCTACATGTGTTTTGGCCTTAAGTTTCCATAAATGGCAATTGTTGCACTTTTGATGCAAAGAAATTAGCAAAACAACTGAATCTTTATTTGTAAACCAATTAAACACAAATTAATTATTTTTTTCCCCCATCATATAATGCTTTAATATGACCTGACTGATTTTCCTTAGTTGTCATCATCTCCTTTTAAACCCTGGAAGCCAAATAAAACAGAGTGAAGTGACATAAGTAGAGAAAGGGAGTTACAATCCAAACAACTGAGGAATGCTTTCTATCCAGTCTGCTGCTTCTCCCACTTGTCTGCTTTGGTATGTGTAATTACACCACAATTTAAAGCGCCTTTGCTTGTGTGTGTCTGTGTGAGAACCCTATAACACATAAGCTGTCAACAACGTGGCCTGGACAGACGACTTCACACTGAGGAGTGAGAAAAAAAATTAAAGCAGACGTGATAAGAACCCGTTTTATTTATCTTTGCATGCTACGGAAAGTGCTTCATCAGATGGTGTTCCACGCAAGACCTGAAATCTGTTGTTTCCCTCAACCCCTGCTGTCGTATTTCCTTTAACCCAAGTAAAAACGTACCCATGGGGCTATCTGTCTCTGTAATGCCTGCTAATAATTGAGCCTGCAAGGCAAAAACTTACAAACTAACAAATAAAGACAAACATTCAAAACAGGTTTAGCATGAATGCTCTGTAGGGATTTAAAATAAACTATTTGGTCAGGGTTGAACTGCGACGCAGTTTGCAGCATGGTTGCATCAGAGCAAGAAGGTTCCATGTTTGAATCCCAGCTGTGGCTTTTCTGCGTGGAGTTAGCATGCTCTCATTGCATGCGCTGGTTTTCCCCGGGTTCCAAAAACATACATGTCACATTAATATGAGACTCTGAAGTGATAAAGTCTTTGTGATGGACTTGCAACCTGTCCAGGGTGTCCCCAGTCTCTCACCTGGTGACTGCTACAGTTAGACACCAGCTCCCCGGGCCCCCACTGAGGAATAAGAAGATAAGTGAGCGAGGTCTTATTTTGAGGTTCTTCATGAAAACTATTTCTATTTCTGCAGCCCAGCTAACAAACTACCACCCTGAAAGGTTACAGCTGTTTACATGAAAGCATGCATATATTTTTATGGGAATTGTGGTAAAGGCTCAGCTCAAAACAGGCTCTCACAAATGTCCTTTTGAAGGTGCCACAGTTTGTAGGTCTAATGGAAAAAACAGAAAACATTTCAAAAAGCATTTCATTGCTATTGAAAAGTTAAATAGCCAGGCTTACCCGCACATTTTAAATATTTCTATCCTGATTTGGAACAATATGCATTAGCAGCCCAAAATATTTTAATAAATATCAGTTTTTTTACTCAGAGGGCATCATCTAGAGGTATAAAAACGCATTTCACCTTAAGCCCCTCTTCCTACTTCTGTGATTATGGCTGGAAACGCTTCTCATTTCTGAGCAGAACTAAAACACATTGTTTTACAATAATGTTATGCAGTTTTTTTTATATACACATATTTTAAAGTTAGACTATGTACTTCTGCAGATGCTCTGTGATTGACATCTGTGCATCAGATGCTATTGGCTAATGCTGAGTGGTGCTCAGTGAAATAGCATGGGGCTCTACAGGACAGGGAATGGGTTTAGCAAATAAACTAATGTCTACATTTTATCACAATACAGGGTGAGACCATCACTTTAAAAAATAAATCACACAAAATGTCACTTAAAGGGGTAAACTACGGATCGCTGCTGGCACTCGCAGAGAACAGACGCTTCTCTTTTTGCTCCCTTATCTTTTTTCCCAAGGCTCTTTGTCCTGTCTGCCCACAGAGCGCTTCCCTGCATTTCTTCTGAAAAACCCCTATTTTTAACCATGGATTTGATAAACTGGTCATTCAACGCAATTGATAAGATTTTTTCAACAATGAGAACGGAGCAGGGGGCTCCCACATGTCCACAGGGGACACACCCGGTGGGGTATATGCTGGATTCCTGGAAGGAATGGAAGATCATATGCCTCAGCCAGCTGTCCATTGAGGATATCGAAGACATGTGGATATTCGGCCTGATGATCACTGGATTTCTCCTGATTGGAGAGATATCTGGTTTTCTGGAAATTTGGGGAGACGGGAGCGATTGGAGGGCGACCCGCACCCACGGAAAGCACCGCCCGTGTGGAGACTTCACAGACTGGGACGTTACTCGAGGTGAATCGTAAGCTGGACAATGTTCTAGCTGCGATATCGCTATTAGTGCGCAAAATGGATGTCATCTCGGAGAGAGTCACCGGACGGTATGGACAAGTTTAAAAACCCAAAATTGGCTTCACTGAAGGACTGGAAATGATCAGTTTAAAGACTGAAGGCAGAGAGGAAAATTATCTCAGCCCGACCCAAACAAATTCTTGTTATCCGAATCTGACGCCCTGGTAGCCTTGAGCGGCAACAAATCCCCACGAAGGAATGTAGACAGATGCTGTGAAAACCCGACCTACCTACCCCCCCACCCCCCCACCCCCGGGATTGGTGGACTTCAGCCTGGCGAGGTCATCAAACTGGATCTGGATCTGTCCCAGAGGGGCATCCGGGAGCCCCTTCTCCCGTTCTCATCTTTGAAAATATTTTGTCAATCGCGTTGAGAGACCAACTGACAAGGTCCATTTTAATAATTTCCAGTTTCCAGAAAAAAATGCAGAAGCTCCGTCCACCCAAAGACAGACAAAGAGCCTTGGGATAAGATAGGGAGGAGAGGAGGAAAAAAGCGTCTGAACTCTCCAAGAGCCGGAAGAAGAAGTAAGTTTGCTTTCTCCTAGGAGTAATGTGATGCTACAGCTGATTTATGCTCCCTCTAGCAAGTTTTTAAGTAAGAAATAAAAGGTTTTTGGTCTGATTATACAGACTCCATCCCCAGTGAGTCGTGGTTGATGGCTGCTTATACAGAGCCAGGATCCTCTGGAGGGTTCTTCCTGTTAAAAGGGAGTTTTCCTCTCCACTGTCGCTAAATGCCTGCTTAGTATGAGGATTGCTGCAAAGACACTCACACTCGTCAGTGACTTGATGCAACCTGCTGGGTTCCTTATACAGGGAACTTTTTCTGATCGGCTTAATGAACTGACCTGTATTGGAATGTTTACTATGTGAAGTTCCTTGAGATGACTCTTGTCGTGATTTGGCGCTATCTAAATAAACTTGAATTGAAAACTCAAATATTTTGGTAAAAGTCTTTTTAAAATGTTCCTATTTTTAATTAAGTTTTAATGAGTTTCAGAAACATCCAGCTTTTTAATCCCGAAGGACCCCCAGGGAGCTCTTATTTTGAAAGTTTGAGTGCAGAAGTGTTGCTTGTGAACAATTTGAAAATCCTACATAAAGAGAAAAAAGTGTAAATCAAACATGGTGGCATCAGACTTAATAAAACATGTGTCATCTGGGTTTGTGGTTGTGTTCACACAGCAGCAGATTGTTGAGTTTAATGACGATGTTAGCAAAGTCAGTGAGATCCACAAAGTCCGAGGTGATGATGTTGACCCCGTCGACCCCTGGCCTTTGAGTCTCGACCCAAGACATGATGAACGGCAGATTTCTAGAAGGATAGAAGGAGAAAGTTTGTCCCACTGACTAAGGAGGAAACAAACGTTGGTCTCTCTGTGGAAGTGTTTCACTTCTGACACTCGTATATTTGACTGTGTTTCAGCCACCAGCAGAACAAAACCTGGAAGTTTGATTGTTTATCCTCTAATGGAATCAATGCCATTTCCCCAGAAGAACAAAATTAGGCCGCCTCCTGTCTCGCCACGGCATCCGTTTGGGAGTTTAATATCTTCAGTTTGTTGGCGCTGCTTCCTCATCAAGCGTTATGAATGCCCTCTGTCAGGATTTTAACTTACATCCAATTCCTGACCTGTTGATTTTAGGAATGGCTCCAAAAAAACAACAACAAAAACACATGCACGTTGTTTAGTTTATGCAGAGGAAGACCTCATGCTTCTGTAGGGGCACTTAAGTGTATTTCACAAGGTGCCATTTTGTAAGTAAAACACTAAAACACACGAAATCCATTATAATTACAGTTTTGTGGCTGTCAGAATTCTCTTGATGTCATAGTTTTTCAGTTGTTAACCGATGTGAAAACACTACTATACACTTACATCAGTGACTCCCAAAACCTTTAACCTTACTGAGAGATGATCTTTTGGAAAACATGCGTTTTCATCGATACCCTCGACTATTTTATAACAGGTAATTTTTTAAAATAACTACATAACCTGCAGAATTTCTCCATCTTAGACCAACAGGTGCACTGACCTTTCCACCAGGTAGTTACGCAGCCCCCAGAAAAAGCCCAGAGCCACAGTGTTGACTCTGGGAGTGAGGATGGCCTGGGTGACATGAAACGATCCCTTCTTAGCTCTTTCCTTCAATGTAGTTTCAAGAAACTAAAACAAAGAGAGAAGGGAACTGCACTGTGAGCGGGGCAATGCATAGATAATGCTAATAAAATAATAAGCTATTTGAAGGCGGTCCTGTATGTTTCTCCTCCTGCACAACCCATTTCCTGTTTTCGATTGATGTTTAGACATTTTAGACTAAGAATTTTATTAGAAATGTGTGTATGGGTGGCTCAGGTGTGCCCTCTTGCCTGTATGAGCTTGTTGGGCTCTGTGGTGTTGGCCCATGGAGCAGGGATCTTAGAGCCAGGCCACATGACGGGGATGTCCTCTGCTAAAGGGTGATGGTAAAACACAATAACCTATGAAAAGGATGAAACTAAAGATTATTTACAGAAGAAACAATGGTCTCAGGCTAAGCTGCTGTGTTCTTGTCAAATTTAACTGTTTTATTTATCTTTTTCCAAAAAATCAACAGGATTATAATAAATTATTATAATGAAGATGACGTTTCTGTGAAAGAGCTAAAACCCAGTATTTACTGTATCATCCTGTCACTTTAACACGATACGGCAACATTAAACTGAGAGTGCAGATAAATGCTGCCCTCTACAGCTGCATTATGAGCAGTTCTTCCTCTAGTCTTTCCTCTCTGCTCTCCCTCCTGTCTCCTTTATCGAGTAAGCTCGAAGCAGATTAGGGTCATGGAAGTGATAGAAGGCTATTTGAACGAGACACAACCAAGCAGATGTCGAGCAACAATAAAAACAGATCTATTCAGAAGTGGCTGCTGAAGGTTACAGAAATGAAATGTTGATCTCACCTGGTACTTCTTCTCCCAGAGGTACTCCAGAGTGACGTTCTCGACCATGCAGTTGTTGCACAGCTTACTCCCAAACACATCCTGGAGCATGCTGAGGAGGTACATGTGGTGATCTTCCTCCATCGCATAGTAATGATTGAAGTCCAAAAACACTACCTAAGTCAAGAATCTGATCAGTTAGACATCCTAGGGTTAAATCCAGATCCGTTTGTACCCCTTCTCACCTCTTTCTTGTGTCTGCTGAGGAAGGAGTTGATTTCTAGCAGGCCATCTCTCACCTAGGAGGTGGAATAGATGAAGCATGAAAGTGAACAGAAAATGAAGAGGTGGCTAATAGGTTAGGGTTGGCGGTCATGTTGGACTGACCATGATGAAGGGTGGGATGATACGAGTGTATGTGATTCCTGCACCAGATTATCTCCATCACTCTTGTTGTCTGAATACATTCAAACTACAGAATTCCTGTTTCTCTGTCCTACTTTAACAGTTTTTCAGCCATTTCAGCAAAGCAAGCTTGCTCAGGACTCATCGACGTTGTAAGCAAGTGGGTGGAGCCTAACTTTAAAGAGAAAGTCACCTCCAAATCAAATCATTTTTGCTGTTAAACTGTCTAGATGTGTAGTCATTATTTTGGCATTTTAGTGCGTCTTGTTAATAAACGTTCTGCTGAAATCTGTCAGGGTGGCGCCCTCCTCAGCTAAAAGTCTGCACTACAATTGAAGCCACTGTTATTTGCTGAGCAGTAATATGTGACATTAGCTGGTATTTTTGACGTTTGTGTCTGTGGAGTATGAAAGCAGCTGAATCATTGCAGCGCCTCCGTAGTGAGCTGGTGTTGGAATAACAAGTGTCTACGCCGTTGCCGCTGCAGGTTCGATACTGGTGGCCTCGGGAAACTCCCAAGCCACTGCTTTTAATGGGCTCGACACACGGGAGGCGACAAACGACCGCGATCAGCGAAATTTGTCGCTGTCGCTTTTATTACCTGACACACGGGAGGCGATCCGCGGCAGCAGCCAGCGGCAAAGTCGTCTATGCGTTCTGTTCCATGGCGAAGTCGAAATTTTCGTTGTTTTGCTTGGCTGTGTCAGGTTGGAGGGAGTTAAGGTTATTTAAGCAGTTCAGAGTTAATAAAGTGGTAGACATGATGTTTCACAAGGTGCTGCTAGAGTTATGTGAAATCTTACTTCTGATTTTACTATAAAAAACATAATAATAATCAACTTCTCCTCCATGTTTGCTCGGAGGTGTACGGAGCATCCTGTCCGCTCATTGGTCAGTGAATGAAACCTCCGTTGATTGGTCCTCGTCCGAGCGACAGCGATGAAAAGTTGAAAATGTTTCAACTTTCTGGGATCGCGTCGCTGGGTCGCCTGTGCACGACACGTGCACGAGCGCAAAATTTCACACGCACATTTTTCGCGTTTCGCTTGGTAGGAGGGAGAGCCGCGATTATCGCTTTGTCGCGCGATGTCGCCTCCCGTGTGTCGAGCCCATAAAAGAAATGACTCAGGGCTGCTCACCTCCTCCAAAAAATATTCCTCCCTTTCCTCTGGTGAAAGAGCGCCACCAACTTAGACTGCCAGGCATTCCCTCTTCTTGGTGCATTTTTGAGAAACAGGAAGTGTGGGTGAAGTAAAACTCTGGTGGGGGGTGACTGGCTCTTTAAAGGCAAAGTGGAATGAGCCTAATTAGTATTCAAACAGCATTTCTAATAAATGCAGTAGTTTGATTACTATTGCTCACAACGATACAAAACAGTACAAATGGGCTGAAACTGGAGACAATTTAAACAGGTTATATTTGACATTTCAGAATTTCATTCATCTTATTTGCAAAGACAAAAAATTACATGAACCGATTCAGTTACTGCAAGACACTTAATGAGAGATTTTTCCTTTTTCACTCACCTTGTGCCCAAAAAGACCATGAATGAAATAGATCTCATTTCCAACTTCGCCCGGTTTAGAGGATACTCTGAGATCAAAGTAGCGGATTCCTGCATCCAGCTGCTCCCTAAATGTCAAGTTCTGCAAACACGGATTATATTAAGCGTTATAATCAAAGCCACTTCAGTTCTGCAGGGTAGCTTGGTGATTTAGTTTTTAAAAAAGGAGGACCTGTGTCATTGACCACTTCACCATGACTTTTTTGGCTAAGACACTGAACATGGTGGCCAGGTACTTGACATAAGCCTTCTGATCTGGACCCACTGGCGCGTGCACATCCACCCAAAAGGTGAAAGAATCATGGGAGCCTGCAGAAAGCAGAAACATGCTGCAGAATGTGTGATTTTTACAGAAACTTGGAGGGAAATAGGTCACTTACACATAAATTAGGAACAGTTTGGACACATGCATTGTGCAAAAGAACTTAATCCTAAACGTAATCACATTTGTATGTTTGTGCATGGCTCACCTGGCACCGCGAGGTGTTTGAGCGGCATAGCCCTGAGCTGGGAGGGCAGAGAACCCATCCAGTCTGCGTTGACCTTGCCGATCCCTGCAGGTCTCGTCTTCATGTCAGGAACCACCTGGCAAAGGGTCGAGCCGGTCAGGAATCCGCCCTTTGCAGATGCGCGCCCGGTAACGGACTCTCGCGCGCTCCCGACAGGTAACAGCAGCCACAGATCATCCTGGACGGTCGCGATTAATTTCTCACACTTTCAGCTTCTAGAATACGAGCTGAGAGGGACATAAATTCGCAAAGCGTTCATGCTAACTGGAAATTCTTTAGGAGACCGACAGGAAGCTGTAATAATCCTCTTAGTGTGAATTTCCACTTGTGACACCCCCCGCACGCTCCTCCCCCTTCCTCTCTGCTACTTCTGGATTTAATCTGCCTTTGAACCATCAGGATAATTTTTTAAACAGCAGAAAGTTGTTTTAGGTTTTAATGGTCACCCTCCCATACGGAGGAGAGGAAACAAACAAACCCATTTTATACAGGTCTGTAATCATTTTTGGACCTATTTATATAAAATATTTTCACATATAAAATATTAATATATTTTAATACTGATGTATCAGCTTTCCTTATTGGTTCCTACCAGTGGCGGATTTAGCAATTTGGGGGCCCAAGGTGAACACAGACATGGGGCCCCTTACACAAAATTTTTCAACAATCTTACCTTGAACTGGATTTGCGAAACTCTCCCCTCTTCTGACGAGTTATTTTTCCCTTTCTATTAGTCCTCTTTTTTCCTATATTTCCCTCTTTTTGAGCACTTTCAATATTTGCTCTGCGTTCTTTTTCCTGTCAGTGCTCCTGTGCTTTTGCCTTTGTTTATTTTTTCCATTTTGGTCTATGTTTTCCTCCCTTTATACATTTTCCATCGTCTTTCCTTTTCTGCTTCCTTTGATGTTTACATCAAAAAACGATGTCACTTTCAGAAGTGAAAATAAACGTTTTTTTAAAGCAAGCTGCTTCTCTTATTGGAGCCACTAGGATAACTCAATTTCATGTTTAATGTTTTGACTATCGCTTTGAGTTTGTTACAAACGCTCCCGCCTCTCTTATTTGTGGTCTTATGGCACTTGGCAAACAATTTGAGGCATTACCGCCACCGACTGGATTGGAGTGGAATGACTACCAATCACATCCTGTTTGTGCATCGCCGTCTTAATAACCCTCTTATGACCATAATTATAACAGGGCCGCCTGGTATTTTTTCCTATGGCTGTAAAATTGTAATAAGTGCAAAGTGTGTGTAACTTTTCTTTTTCAGAACAACCTCAGCTTTCAGTGTACGGTTTGTATTTAGAATGTACTTCTATTAAAGCCTTTTAAAAATCAGCTTAAAAGTGAAAAAAGCAAAAAACGGATTTGAATTTTTTACATTTATTACTGAACAGGAACTTCAAAATTGCTGGGCAAACAATTTGGAATAAACAATTTAAATTTTGAACTGTAATTGTAATGACCAGAACATGGAAGACCCGTGATGACACCAAACACAGTAAAAAGTTTGATAAAAAATCTTTATTAGATGTGGTGTTACCCGAAGAGGGCGAGGCAGAAGACAGTCGGAGAGGAGGTGTGGGTCAAAACCAGATCGAGACAAGCAGGTACAGGGAACAGGCTGGAGACGTGGTAGAAGACAGGCGAGGGTCGTGGTGGCAGGCAGAGTTCAAGGCATGGGTCAGGCGTGAAAACAAGGTCCGGAGGCTGTGATCAGGCCAGGTGAAAGGCTGGAAGATTTACTGGCAAAGAGCGTTCCATAATCTGGCAGGGGACTAGTGGCTGGCTGGTGAATATATTGCAGGGGGAGCAGGTGTGTAATGAGCTGATGACAGGGACAGGTGAGATGAATGAATTGGCTGAAGGCTTGATGAGGTGGCAGCAGAGGCAGAGGAGGGTGAAAGACTGGGAGTCATGACAGACACCCCACCCCCACCCCCCACCCCAATGGCGGATTCCAAACGCCCACAGGAAACAAGAGCAGGACGGGCCAGAGGAGTCTGGGGAACCGGCGACAGGGGGACCAGGAGAATATATATATATATATATATATATATATATATATATATATATATATATATATATATATATATATATATATATATATATATACAGTGGTTTTGGGGGCAAGCAGGCGGGGGAGTCCTACATGTGCGCTGCAGCTGCTCCACGCACTCGTTCACAGCTGAGCCGCAGTGCGCTGGGGGCACTGCGGCTCAGCTGGCAGTCCGACCACTCAAACCGCAGCAGAAACTGAGGGTTGGTTCTTTCAGGATACCAATATTTTTCTAAAAACTTCAGAAACTGATTCTATATTCCCACCCCTCCTGCTCCTCTGACAATGAACTTGACCTCTGACCTCCCTGTAGTGTGCATATTACTATAAATAGCAACATGCGTGTAAATGTTTTTTCATGCATTTTAAATCTACTCTGGATAAATAGAAAAGCAGACAGCATCAATTTAGAGACAATCTGAACAACTTTTATTTTGAAAAAAATAAAACATACGTTTTATGACATAGGATTTTTAATCACATTCAATTGGAAAAATGCATTTAAGAGCTGAGTTGTCTAGGTTGGTGGGTGTCTAAACTCTCCAGCAGGGCCTGTGAGTAACCAGGGCTGTAGTACCTGAAACAGAGGATACATTTTAACACCGCTGTGCCATTAAGTTCTGTGTTTTAGCTCATTTAAATGACCAGTCTTCTCTAAAACAGCCCTTACTTGACTATGTCGTCAGGGAAGCAGCTGGTGATGGTGTTGATGTGCTTCTGCAGATCAGAGTCAGGCTCTGCGTCCATCTCCAGCACTCTCTTCAGTCCTCCGCTGGTCACAAACACCCGACGGGCCTTGCTGTCGTGAGGCAGCACCTTGTGGAACCAGGAGAGGTTAAACACAGATCTAAGCACACATCTATCATCATGTCTGACTCACCTTGCTGAGCTGGCAGAGGACGTGTTTGAGGATGCTGGTGGGAGCGTCGTAGAGAAGCGGCTCCATGCTCTGCAGGGAGGTGCACTTCTGCAGGATGCCCTTCAGGGCCTTCTTACACTGAAAGGCATCATTACTCTAATTACTCGTTCACTGCTTCCACTGATGCTTTGACTCCATCCTGTCTCTTACTTTGGCCCGCAGGTCCTCTGAGCTGCCAGCATCCATGTAGAGCTCAAGGAGCCGGGGCAGCAAGTTGGCCGTGGCCACCGCCTTGGCATGCTCTGGGGTGTGAGAACCTATCTGACCAATTGACCAGACTGTAGCTGCCTTCATGTGCTGCTCAGACTCCTCAGACAGACACAGGGCCAGCTGTGGCACCCCCTGCAGGACAGGAGACACTGCTCAGGCTGATCTACATACAGAACCAAGAGTCTGCAACAGGGAGGTGTGGCCACCTTAGAGAGGATGACAGCCATGGCGAGGGTCTCACTATGAGCCGCCACATATCCCAGCATCATGATCCCTGACAGCCGCAGATTTCCGTGGGAACTACCCAGGTAGTCGATCACGGCTCCGAGCCCACCCCAGTTCACAATCATATGGGCCAGCTGGACAAACACACACACCTATGACAAAGGCTTTGTGTATTTTCAAAATTATAGATAAGTTGGTGCCGAGTACCTCCGGTGAGAGTTTCGTCACTTCCCTCAGCAGAGTGGCGACATTCTTCCTGACGTACTCGTCCGGATCTCTGAGGGAGAGCAGAGCGGCAGGGAAGACCTCGGCTTCCAGAACCATTTCAGACAGGCTCACGGAGTGTTTGCTGATGTGGCTGAGGGCCGAAAACACCTGCCTCTGGATGGAGACGCACACAGTCCTCAACATTTAGACACTAAACACACATCTGACATTAACACTGCATTGAGATTTACAGCTGATATATTTTATTATTTGATGTAGCTGCAAAAATCAGCCTGAAACAACTAATAAACATTTTAAAATGAGTTCAAAAAATATTTGGGGATTTTAGAGACTTTTAATGTTAAACACAGACAAAAATCTTACTTTTATGGTTTATATTGTGTTTTAAACCTTTAAATCTGTGACTTGTGAAAAAACTTTATTTGTTGGATTTTCTTAAATTTTGAGGTCTATTCATATAATAATGTTTGACCAAATTACTCATAAATTGTTGAAAATGTAAAATATTTAAGTTTTTCTCTGTTCTGAATACTTTCTTTGCAGATGATCCATCATTTATTTTCCACCCAAAATTCATGATTCATTGAATCAAATCAAATTCTTTTCAAACACCTTAAAGCTAAAATGGTTTATCATAATCAGAATAGGATTAATTTTGGATCATGCAGGAGCGTCAGAGCCTTACCTTGAGTTTGGCATCTGGACTGTTGGTCATCTGAGCCAGGTAGGCCACGGCGCCCGTGTCCACCACGGCTTGGGCAAGCTCTGGAGTGTGTTTGCAGATGTCGCTGAGAGCAGAGACTGCGATGCGTTTGAGAGACACATTGGGCTCCAAAAGACACAACACCAGCAAGGGGACGGCTCCTGCGTCCACGACCAGCTGAGACAGACCTGCAGGGTGGATTCAGTGTTTAAACATTAGCTCAGGTAAAAAGTTCAAAACATCTGCAAGAATCCTGGAGGGGTGCATGTGAAGAGGGTCCTTACTAGCATCGTGTTGCACGATGGAGCCCAGAGCCCAGGCAGCCGCCTCCCTCAGGCTGGGGTCAACCTCCTCCAGGCAGAGAACCAGGCTGTCCATCCCCCTACTGTCCACCACAGCCTGGGACAGCTCAGAGGAGTGTCTGGCCACCGCACGCAAAACAAGCGCTGCTGTTCTTTTAAGCATTATCTGCACAGGAATCAGCAGAAATTATTAGAAATGTCAAGATTGTTAATACAGCTGGGAAATTTTCAAATAATATAATTACTGTTGAGTTATTTCTATTCAATCTAAGAAAACTGTTTTTAGTACTTCTTTTCATTATTGGCTCAAAAACATCTGCTGCTAGAGGAGCAGCGGCTCTATTCCGAGCCCCTCCCAGATATCGGCGCTCCTCCAACGTTTAGGTAGAAGATAAAAATAGCCTCAGTGGGAAGAGCAGGGCCAAAGGTTTCCCAGCAGGACATGGGTCAAACCCTCATGCCACATTCACTGGCTTGGGTTCTTCTTGTGTCCATGCACAAGTAACCATCAGAGAAAGCTGAGAGTGGTGAATAAATCCAGAGGATGTGATGCTTACGTTCTTGGAGCCCAAAGAGAGGACCAGCTGGGGCAGGATGCCCTCCCTCACAACAGCCTCAGCCAGGCTCCGGTGTTGGTCGGCCAGCCGGCTGAGAGCCAGAACGGCAGCCTGCTGGATGCTGGTGACCTCATCCAGCATCAGGGGACGCAGCAGGGTTATCACACCTGGATTGGGGGGGGGGGGGGGGGGGGGGGGGGGAAGGTTATGACTAGACCCAGCTGCAGATGTCACAGCGTCTCTCACTCATAAAAATTACCTGCATTTATAAGGATTCCTGTATTTTGTGGTCTGCTGGCCAGATCAGCAACACTGCGCACAAAATGCAGTCTTGATTTCTGGTACTGCTCAAAAACTGTAAACAGAGATAATAGTTAGTCAGGTGGCTCGTTTCTTAGATGTGCAGGTGAACAACAGGCGTCTCACCTGAAAGGATTTGCCGTTGGCTCATTGTGACCCTGTTTTTAAAATGACTCATTTACAAGGATTATTTTCTAATCTGCAGTCGATTTATCCGCTCAGACTAATCTGTTACAGGTTTTTCAGGCAGTGTTTTTGAAACGCATTCTTGAAGAGTCGAGTTGTTTGATGTTGCCATGGCAACATTCAGGAAGCGGAACTGTTGTCATTCAAAGATTGTCTATTGTAAAGCAGAGCGCTTACTCGGTTCTGACTGTTGACTCAAAAGTGAGTTTATGGTTATGATGTTTTTGTTTAGAGTGAGAGCTCTGTCGCTGTTACAGATCGCTGTTCTCCTCTTTTTGTAAATAAATAAACAAATGATGTATCTGATCTCTTTCTAAAATCTACTAATTTTGATTTATTTATCCATCTTTAATAATTACCTACTTTTATTCTCCAAAAACACATGCAATGTTTGAATAATGTGCTCTGCTTTGCTGGGAAAAATATTAAAGACATCATCACAAAGAGAATCTGGCTTTGTATAGCACGTTTAACAATAAAATGTATTTACTTCATTAGTTTGTTAGTTAATTGAATGCAATGCGCTATAAAAACATGTACTGCAATTTTGCAAATTTGTTTTGTCATTTCCACCTTAGATGTGTTGCTTTCTCTGCCTGATCTGCATGAAAAAAAAATGTAATAAATGAATATGTTTAATATATAATCTTTGTACTGTTAGACTCACATAGCTAAAACCCTAACCTGGTTGCTTCTGCTTCCTCTTCACATCTTGCTCGGCTTTCAATCAGGGTTACTGAGGAATGAAATAACTCGTATGAGTGATTCTGCATTGCTTAATAAAAACCCACAATCAATCAATTGAAAATAAAATCTGAAACAAATTAACAGTTTTTCTTTTTATTTTATTTTATGCCAATGATTCAAACTCATATGCAGAGCCATTTAAAAGCTAACAAAATTAAGAAAGGTTACTGTGAAGCTCTGGGACGTCATTTAAAGCAAGTCATTTTATATGCAATTTTTGCGATTTAAAAAAGAAAATCTTGATGGGAAAATGTGAGCAAACTCTGACCCTGGCGGTTTAACATTTTGTAGACTGGTTAGCGCAGTGGATGAGATGGAAAATGATGAATTAAAGCCTCATTTTCAGACTTGTAGACTCTCTCACACACCACCCTTGTTTCCAAATTGAGAATGAGAAACCTTTAAAACAATATTGCCTATTATTTTTTAGTATATCACGCTACCTTCATGTACATCTTCAATGACTTATTGGTGCAGTATTTTCCAATGAGCTGCTGCACACTTTTGGTTTTATTGAATATTTTATAATTAATTTTATGCTTAGATCTGGAATACCTGAGCACCATAATAAAGTTGTTTTGGATAGTATCAATGATCATTGCCATCTTCTTCTTTGCCTCTATCTGCCCACATTTTTTTCATTTTTTTTAGTCTGCTGTGATCACCCCAGATCACACAGCCCACTAGCCTAGTGAACTAGACCAAATTCTTGCTTTGCAAAGTTTGCCAAGTTAAATAATACATTTATTTAGTTTGGCTTGCCAGGCTAACAGCCCACATGTGCCTGCGTACAAACCACAAACGTCTTTATGTCAGTATTCATTTCCATGATTACCTGTGAAATGCCACTGATCAGCTGGCTTGTTAATATGCAATGTATTCATAAGGTCCTTTGCATTGACCATTTATGGTAGAAAAAGGGTATAGGAGGGATTTGATCAGAAAACACATGAGCACATCTTGGAAAAGTGTGATTTATAAAGCAGGAAGTATGTGCAGCTGTGGGTCGATGTAGGCAATGTTTTACAGGTCGGATAATTCATTTGCTCCAGTAGGCTACTTTTTTATTTCTGAGCTACAAAGTTTTATGAATACGGCCCCTGATCTTTACACTTGGTGTACTTTTTTGTATTTCCCATCCTTCCTGGGTAGTTTATCCCTAGCAAACTGCATTTTAGTAACATTTCAACGATGAAGCATTAATTAAAAATCTTATCGCTTGACCGTGTCACGTGCCTGACATAGAGGTCTTCCGGAAGAACCGTTCAGGAAAACGTTCCGGTGTACTTCGTCACTTCCGCCGCGGCTCCTGCTAGAAGTGGGAGGGTGTAGCTTGGTGTTGATTTAAAATCACGTTTATGTTGTGTTAACAATTCAAGTGGACATACCACCGCTGCGTAAGTACTCCGGTGGTGTGTTGTTGTGAAGGTCCGCCGTATTATGGTTGAAAAAAAGAGTTTGTAAATAAGGTTAACTCCGGTTAGCATGCTAAGCTAACAGAAGCTAATGTTTGTCTTTTTTGCCCAAAACAAGTCCGTGGATGCAGTTTACTCACACTCACGCACTGACGGAGCACAGTGTGTTTTCTTATTACTATAGGTAGGCTCAGATGCGTGCATACAACATGTTTCATTAAGGTGTTGGTGTAGTGCAAAGAAGAGTATGCCTGTTGAGATTGGCGTGCCATGCATATACTAATGGATTACTGCGTGTTTGTTTATTATGCCAGATCGCTGCCAGTAAAGAACGCTGAAGAACAGCTGCGACAGGGTCACTCTTCAGAGAGTACGAGAAAGATCTGGATGGTATTGTGACAAAGTCCATCACAGTGAGGCATGATGACAATGATTGTTGTGGAGGGGCATCTTCCCCCAAATTCAGTAAGGTCCTTGTTGGACTATCCTTTCAAGAGAAGGACGATGGAAGAAAAAATTCTCGTTAAGGAGCTGGGACCCCACAGGCCTGAAATAAACCTCCAGCAGAGATCCACGGAGAAAGTTAAAGCCTACAACAGGACTTTTTGCAGGACTTGGTTCCAGCGTAAGTCTTGGCTGACCAGCTGTGCAATAACCAACGCACTGTTTTGTTTCCCCTGCATCCTTTTCCAAAGTGGTAAGTGTGATTTGGCGTGGACACAATCCGGACAAACTGACTTGAAGCACCTCTCCGAACGCATCAAGAAACATGAAAGATCAAGAATTCACATGGAAAACGGTATGCAGCTAGCTGTGCTAGGGAGAGTTAGCATAGCGGCCCAGCTGGACGAAGGCCATTGCATTGCTGTAAGGAGACACAATGAAGAGGTGGATAAAAACCGTCACATTTTATCTAAGATTATCGATTGTGTTAAATTTTGTGGTGCGTTTGAGCTAGGAATGTCAGGGCATGGTGAAAGTGAATCCTCAGACAATCCCGGGATTTTCAGAGGCCTGGTTGACTTGATGGCATCCAATGATCGAGGTTTGAGGGAACACCTTGAAAGTGCAACTGTGTTTAAAGGCACTTCGACAACGATTCAGAACGAGCTCCTAGACTGTGTGCTGGCTGTTCTGAGAGAACGGATCGTGGAGGAAGTAAACACAGCGAGCTTTCTAGCTATCCAAGTTGATAAAACTACTGACATCTCCTCACACTATCAGCTTGTCCTGGTACTACGATACATAGACAAACGCAACGATGTACAAGAACGTTTTTTTGAGTTTATTAAGCTACCCAATGACTGTGCAGACCCAGTAGCCAACACATTATTGGAGAGGCTACACATCATCCTTCCAGAGGGACAAGAAAATAAACTGATCGCGCAGGCCTATGATGGTGCCGCAGTAATGAGGGGTACCACTGGGCTGCAGCATAGGTTACAGCTCATCTATCCACATGCTCACTACATTCACTGTTATGCCCATCAGTTGAACCTGGTAATGCAGCAGGCAACCTCCCACATCCCTGAAATCAGTCGCTTTTTTTCTGACATGGCAGGATTTGGTTCTTTTTTTGCTAAATCACTCAAAACGGCTGCTGTGCTCGGTGAGGTGACTCACCAAGTGCCAAACACATTAACATGCTGGAATTTTGGCAGTGGGGCCGTCAGCACTGTGTATGAGCACAAGGACGATCTGGTGAGATGTTTTGAGACCATCCGGGACAGAGAAAGCTTTGATGACACTACGACACGAGAGGCGGGCAGCTTTGTGAGAATGCTGGAGGATGAAACTTTCTGTTTCTTCCTTTCCTTGTTTCACAAGATCATGCCACATGTGGACTTGCTGTACAGCGAGTTACAGAAGACGAACATTGATTCTGACTTCATTGCTGGTGTCATCCAGAATTTCATTAACAGCATGCAGACTATCAGGTAGGCTAAATGTGTTCATATGTAGTCTAGCCTCATTACGCATTGTTTTCAAACGATGAATCCGTTAAGTTGATAAATATAATTGCTATAAAACAACATTAGGTTTGGTTAATATATCCCTAGACAGTTTTTATGACTTATTTATGAAACTTCTGTTTTGGATCAGAGAGGCCATTCCTTTTCTGGTTAAGGAGGAGGCATTTGTGGTACCTATTCAGGAGCCACCCAATAAGAAATGGAAAAGAATGGGAGAAGACATGCAGCACCATTTTGCTCTGGAGGTAAACACTTTGATTTCAGATCATAAAGTGAAATCTTATGTGGATGCAGGCCATCTGGGATGGTGGTCTAGTCTAGAATGAAAGGTGCGTTGTCATATTATGATATGAATAAAGCCTGGTTCGTGCTTCTCCGTCAGCTCCGCAAGGGACAGACACGCACGGATTGACGGAAGCGTTTTGCTCATACTTCTCCGTCTCCTGGAGAGTGTTGCAAAGCAATTGCCCGCCAGGACCACAGAGGGCGTAGCGCTTTTCTGTGGTATCCTGTCATGTATCGGTCCAAGATAGTGTGTTAATATTGTGTGTTTTGTGTATATAAGAGACTTTTTAACACAGACATATTTGTCTCTCATTCTCCACCTCTTCATGCGCTCGCCACCTCTAAACCCACGTTTCCTGTCATTTCCGTCCACAAATAAAATGCTTGCTGCATATCTTTTCACTCCTCCAGTCATGGGAGAATGAAACATTCATGTTTTTAGAGTGTTTTCGCGAGGTATTCTTCAAGCTTCTCCGTGTCTGCCGCTTGTTATCCTCGGCTCTCTTTATGTTTTTGAGGGCGCAATGGCGGCGCTGTAGACAACAGCGGCGTCCTGACCAATCACAAGCTTGCATTGTCTGTCTCGACTGACGGATGTTTAGAAAAGAGAGTTCGACTCCGTCCGTCCTTGCGAAGCTCTCCGGCAGCTCCGCAAGGACGTTGCGTGTCTCCGCACTGACGCAGACGGAGAAGCATGAATCAGGCTTAAAGCTTTAATGACCACTGCAAAACAAGACTGAGCTCTGGTATTGACGAAGGCTTTTGGACTAATGCGAGAGAACCACTTCATTATTTTTCCAATTTTTTTATCTCCACAAAATATTCACTAAATGTTAAAATGTTGTTAGGGGTATGAAATAAAATTCAAGCTAGCTTGTTTTGCAAACTTGCGAATGTGTTTTTGCTTGTGTCAAGCCATTAAACTCGAAAGAGAATAGTTGATCCAACTTAAATTGGTGACACGAATTTGAATAAAGTTTATCCAAGTTAATTCATTCAACTTGACAGCTTATTGAAAGCAATTTCTGAAAAACAAATGAACTATTCTCTTTTTGAGTTTTCACAGTATAGGCTAGCCTAGCCTTTCCACCGGATGCTTAAGTGGTGCGTGATGTAAAAAAAAAACGGTAACTATTCAGCATATAAAAGATGGTGAGACATGTGATGACTTCATTCTCCCCTTTTAAATATTTTATTTCATTACATAGGTATGTGACACCATCGTGAGCCATGCCAAGGAGAGGTTTTCTTTCACCAAACACCTCATCAGTGCCACTCTGGTGCAAGCAAACTTCTTTCGAAAACACAGCAGAATGTTCCCAGACTCGGCTCTGGACACTGCGCTGGAAGCCTACCCGTTTCTGGACAAGGCCAAACTTAAAACCGAACTGTCCCTGATCTATGAAAATGAGGAGTTCCATAGTTGCAGTGGTGCAGTGGCACTCTTTCGAGTTTTGATGGAAAACAACCTTCAAGACATTTTTACAGAGACTGTAAGTCTTCTGAACATCGTCATCACAACACCCATGAACACATCAGAGTCGAAGAGGTGCTTCTCTACCTCAAACAGGATAAAAGTCTTTCTTAAAAACACTTTGGCGCAGGATCGGCTCAATGCTCTGGCTATGCTCTCCATAGAGAAAAAACTGACCCAGGACATTCGTGATTTTAACACTAAGGTCATTGAGAAATATGCAGCTCAGATACACAGACGAGAAAAGTTCATGTACAAATAAAAATCTTCTATCCCAAACATACAAACATACATGGATTTTTTTTTTTTTGCAAACACAGAAATACTCCTGCCTTCCTTAAGGTTTTTTGTATTTGATACTACTCATTTCCCAAGTATAAATTAAGTCTGACATTACTGTAAATTGTGAGTTGACTTTGTAACTAATGCTTTTGGGAAGAAAAATTAATTACTTTTGTGGAATTTCTGTCATCTTCTGACAGGTTTCTTATACCTTTTGTGTAAATCCAATGTTGTTTCCACCCAAATGTCATAGCAACAGTCAGACATGATGGTTGTAGTGTGATGGCCTGGTGCGGATTTACAGCTGCAGGACCTGGACCACTTGTGAAGTCTGTCTACTAAAAAATCCTGAAGGAGAAAGCCTCAGATGTGATCCTAGAAAGAGTGCAAAGAAGGCAGTTGGATGAAACAGAATGTACGTACAAAAGATCCTAGAAAGAGTTGGAAAACCTCCACTGTGCCTGAGTTAAAGCAGTTCTGAATAATTCCTCCACAGTGATGAGACTCCTCACTGGTGTCATTAATACTTGATTGCATGTTGCTGTCAATTATTTCACACCCCGTTATTGGGATTAGTGGCAAGTCATGTTGGTTTGGATGGCTTTAACACCAGTAAAGTAATTAAAAAAGATTTGTATTTATTTGGGTTACCTTTGATTTGACATGAGGAAAGAAATATTTTTTACATATCTGTATTTAGCATAATTTAATATTTTAAAATATGTAATATGCTTCACAGTATGTCAGTATAGCTGACGTTTTGCAGCAGACCTGTTCTAAAGTGAAGCAGGGTTCAGGTCAGTCTGACATTGATTTGTTGGTGTGATGAAGACATGACATTTTCAGTGGTTTGCTGGGTTCTTAAGCATACGCATTTCTGTTTAGTGACAGTACTGTAAAGATTAGGTGTAGCCCATCGAAAATATAAAATTAATATTAGTGGAAAAATACAGGAACGTTTAAAACAACAAAACAATCGTAAAATTGTGACAACTAAATAAAAAAGACCCCATAATCATAGCTTTTATATGATTAAATCTTAATATAATTTTTATTTAATGTATGTTGTACCACATATGGCCTATATAATTAAATGTTAGATAATATACATTTTTTTATTTACTGTGCTCTGATTGTAGTACCACAGCGTCTGATAGTCCAATCGCGGTATTTTAGCGCCATCTGGTGGCGACTAACCCGAGTACTGCTGAAAACACATCACTGTCACTTTTAATCTATATGGTTTTAATTTTTGCGCAAAAATTAAATTAAAATATCGATGGTTTACATTTAGAATCGTCTCCGAATATCAAGAACAATCACGAAGATGATAAATGCGTGCAGGACGACAAGTCCCACAAAGCATTGCGGCCGCCACGCGCTTCGTCACCTCTCGGAAGAGGTTTGAGCTTTCTATGTTGTTCGTTTCCATGGAGAGGTCACGCGCACACAACTGCACGCGCTGGGTTTGGGCTAAGTGAGAATGTTATCTGGAGCTATCAGCAGAGCCAGACAACGGAGACGAGCTACTTCTGAACTGGTGAGTTTAAAACCGCCAAGACAGTTTAAAAGATAAGAAAAGAGGCAGGGAGAAAAATGAACGTTGATGCAACTACCGGTAGTCCGAACTACGTTTCTCTCTTGAATTAATTGCGCGTATTGTATTGTATAGTTTTTGTTTATTATTGCCCGACAAATACTACCTAACTAATGTTAGATTATTTTAATTGCTTTATCCCATAGAACGGTTGAAAGTAAGTGCTGAATTAATTCATTAAAATAAAGTTATATATTATTGGTCAAATGGCCAAATGTGGTCATATCACACAGTTATAATCCTTAAATTGAATCTTTTTGTTGTCCACCGGGAAGTGACCTTGATTAGCTCCTAATGTCATGTGGCCTTATTAGACGGTAATTCCTTTTAAATCCCTCCTAGCAGATTGTAGGTCTCTAGGCATCTACCTACTATTCTTCTGCAGCTGCTTGTCTGTCAAACGAGATGCTTTAAATTTGCATTCAGAAATAAGCTGGATGTGATTGAAATGTGTCGAAAGACATTTAAAATCTACATTTGTTTTATGGGTTAATTATTTAGCTTTAAACATTATTTTTGGAATTCTTTGAGAAAAAGGAAATTGTTTTATATTATTGTTTCACCTCTTGCTTTTCTGTTTTTCAAGCATCTATTTTAAGAACAAATGCTAAAGAACATGTGCTTTCTCTACTGTAGCAGACCCATCATCAGATAATGTTCCTATTGGTCAAGAAGGGAAATAAGGTCAAACATATGTCAGATAAGCACATTTACCTCATTTAAGGCACACTGAGCTAATTAGTCATATTTTTGAAATCCTTTTCTTTAGCCAGTGTGTGCTAAAATAACCATTTGCAGGGTGTATGAAAAGCCTCTCTGCCCCTTGTGATACCCTGTTTGCAATTTTAGCCTCCCTGGATCGCTGCCTTGAAGTTTCAAAATCCAAGCTTGACAGCAATCCGTGTTTACTCCTCAGAACAGATGAGCTATACCTCGATAGCATTTATTGTAACATGTTTATCATGGTCTGAGCCTCAAAAGAAACTAAGGAAGCTTTTAGGCCTATGAAACAATAAATAAAAAAATGCCCGACCACAATAGGAGTCAAACATCGGGTTTTCTACATTGTGAGAGCTCAGAGATATGACTCCTGCATGTTTTAGATCATGAACACAGCTGATTTGTTTGATTTAGTGAATAATCACTCCTGTAGAAACAAATTAAGGCTGAGGAGACATTTCAGCAGTTACATTACGGATCTGGTCTTGTTGGCTTTATCAGAACGTGGTCTCCAGCTTTTGCAGAGTGTAAAGTGGCTGGGATGAGAATCAGCTCCTCTAAATCCAAAACCATGATCTTGAATTGGAGAAGGGTAGAATGCCTTCTCCAGGTCAGGGATGAGGTCAATCTTGTTCATGAGCGAGGGAAAAATGGAGCATGTGATCGACAGGTAGATTGGTGCTGCCTCTGCAGTGATACGGGCATTGTACTGATCTGTTATGGTGAAGAGAGAGCTGAGCAGGAAGGTGATACTGTTGATTCCTACCCTCACCTTTTGTCACGAGCTTTGGGTTGTGACAGAACGAGATTGCAGATACAAGTGGCCAAAATGAGTTTTCTCCACACCCTTAGCGATAGGGTGAGAAACTTGTTCATCCGGGAGGGGCTCAGAGTAGATCCGCTGCTCCTCCACATCGAGAGGAGCAAGTTGACGTGGCTCTAGCTTCTGGTCTCCTGCCTCCTGGACATCTCCCTGGTGAGGTTTTCCAGGCATGTCCAACTGGGAGGAGACCCAAGGGAAGACCCAGGACACACTAGAGGGACAATTTGTCTCTCTGCTGGCCAGGGAACACCTTGGGTTTGACCAGGAGGAGCTGGCCCAAGTAACTGGGGAGAGGGAAGTCTGGACCTCTCTGCTTAGGTCCCCACAACTCCAAATAAGTGTCTGAAAATGGATGGATGGATTACGGAAGTACGCAGTGAGGAGAGTTTCTGTTTCGTTTTTATGATGGTGAATTAAATTGGACATTAAGGGGTGCTAAAAGCAAGCCAAAACTGCAAAGTTTATCTTTAAAGCAGAGGAGTCTTTCGTCAGAGGGCACCACCTAGAGGCAGAAATAATGAATCATACATGAAGCCCCGCTCCATACTTCCGTGATTACAGCTGGAAGCATTGCTTCTCCTTTGTGAATGCTGGCTAATGCTAAGTGGCGCTCAATTCAAATAGCATGAGGCTCTATGGGACAAGGACAGGCTTATCAAAATAAAAAGGCATTGATGTATTGCCTACATTATATCACAGAGTACAGGGTCGGACTAGCACTTTTAGGATAAAATAAAAATCCTGCATAATTCCTAAAAGTTGGAAAACTATTTCTGCTTAAACGTATATCCTGTTTTTTTTATTCTCATTCTTTAACATTTTTTATTTAAACACCCTAAATTTAAGTTGGGAAGAGATGCTGGAACACACGGTTTTCTCAAATGCACACACATGCTTCTGCTGCACCAAGGTTCACCCACTGAGGCCCTAGTATACTTGCAGCTTGCCTATATATTTGAGTTTAATATTCTATATTTTGTTCCCTTAAAGCACAATTTCATCAACGCTTTGGACTCATTTCCACTCAAGATTAGCCCAACATGAATATTAAACACAAAACGATGAGCTTTACCTAAAAGGTTTTTGTGTGGTTTTAATTATTCAGAGTACTGAGCTGCAAGTAGTTGCCCGTGCAAAGTTGAAGATGCCGTCAGCAAGGTTTATTTGGCTGAACCTGCAGCATAACAGCTTGAACGCTACCCGATGGTCTCACTCAAAGCCTATTGCCAGGCAGGGTGCTGTGGAGATGGCTGTAGATGCCGGTAAGCGTGTCGGTGATGCAACAGCCTATTTACATCTCTAATCCGCCTGTGTCATCACCCTTGGGTGTTCATGTGTTGAAGCTTCCTAATGTGACACACACCTGATCCTCCTCTATGAGGGGAAAAACAGAAAGGGATCTGTTGGAGAGTTTTATTGACATTTGTATTTGTACTGATGCTGTTGTTCTCACTTTTAGCTCCCTTGTCTCCCGACCCATTTACACCTACAAGAGTGAATCGATCACATATTTGAAGATGATTTCTAAAGCCCAAACTCAGGGGGTTTGTGGCACATTGGACAACTTAAGGATCTTCCTTTTGGACCGGAACAACTAAACTGCTCTGGAGATACAAAACAGCCTTTTACCCCAGTTAAAGACAACAGATGACTCAGCACTGTGCTCCCACAGCTCACCTCTCTCAGAACGAGCTTTAGGAAGCTGATGAAGACATTTTGAGACACGATGAATCGCTACACCACCCTGAAGCAGCTGGGTGATGGCACCTATGGTTGTGTGCTGATGGGGAGGAGCAACGAATCTGGAGAACTGGTGGCTATAAAGAGGTGAGGAAGTTTGCTTTTTAATTCGAAAACTTGAATATTTACTTGTTATCTATACCATGCTATAGAGAGTAATTTAGATACAACTGGTTTAAAAAGTCAATTGAAATAATTATGTGATGCCCATTGTGTCAATTTTAATTCAAGTTTCAAGTTTATTTATAAAGCGCCAAATCACGACAAGAGTCGTCTCAAGGCACTTCACATAATAAACATTCCAATTCACAGTTCATTAAGCCAATCAGAAATAATGTTTCCTATATAAGGAACCCAGCAAATTGCATCAAGTCACTGACTAGTGTCAGTGACTATACAGCAATCCTCATACTAAACAAGCATGCAGCGACAGTGGAGAGGAAAACTCCCTTTTAACAGGAAGAAACCTCCAGAGAATCCTGGCTCAGTATAAGCAGCCATCCTCCACCACTCACTGGGGATCGAGAAGACAGAGCAGCACACACACTCACACACACACACACACACTCACACACACAGACACACACACACACACACGTAATGTGTCTATAGTTATATTGTGATGTCTTAGTAAATATTGTATTTGGTGAAAGATAAACTTTATTGTATTTATTCTAGTGGATCTATAATTAAACGGATAAACTAGTATTAGCACATCAAAAGTCAATGAAAACAAAAAGTTATTATCAGGAGAGAGAGAATGTGTAAGTGGTTAGCAGCAGTGTGCTAGACGATGGCCCCCTCCATGAGGCCACCACAGCTCAGCAGAACATCATTGTAGCTTCTTCTGGGGAGAAAAACACTTACAGAGAAAATAAAGTTAACAGCTGAAATTGCACAAAATAGTACAGTTAAAGAGCAGACTGTATAATAAAGCAGTAGAGTGTGAAAAGTGGTCAGTGTGTCCTCCAGCAGTCTAAGCCTATAGCAGCATAACTACAGAGATAACTCTGGATAATCTATTCTATTTAGATCTCAGCTATGTCAATAACAAATTATTACACATATCTAAATATGACTTGACTTCCCTAACCCTACTCTAATTCTTTCTGGTGGTTTTCTTGCTTGCTTAGGAGTCCCATCTCTTAAGTGTTATATAAAAGCAGAAGCTGGGCCAGGGATAACTAGCCCAAGTCGAGTTTCTTTGCCGTCTGCGTGGCAAAAACCTCACCTACATTGTTTTGCTTCTACAACACAGTTGTGGTGTTCAATAATAGATGGGAAGCCTGGGAGATGAGTCCACTTGTTGATCATTTGGTTTCCATGCAAGACAATACATGTGGTGACGGTGAAAGGCAGTGAAAGTAGAAGGAGGGGTGTGTCGGGTTGCTGATATTGTGAAGGAGACGAGAAAAGGATAGGTTCTCCCCTCAGTTAGTCCTCTGTAACTCCAGGGGAAAGAGGGGGAGGTGCTGTTGAGGAACATCAAGCACCTCCTGACGTGTTGCCACACTTGGATTTGCCAACACTGATCAATAATTGGGGAGTCTCACATTCCTTAGGACTGCTTAACAATGATTGCCTTTTGTGCAAGAGTTTAAACTAAAATTGATTAGAGAGGCCGAGGGAATATTGAAACTAACATTTTGTGTGATTGCACAAATCCATCAGTATGTTTGGGGTAACTCTAATATTGATTGAATTATAGCCTTTTTTTTGTTCAGTTAGCTCTTGTATCTTGGAGGAGGTATTTGAGCTGACTCCAAAAAGGAATCTGTTAATGTGCATCCCTTGAAGGCTTTCTGATAATTAGCACATGTTTTTGTGTAGATTGAGATATTTTGCTAACCCTACAGATGGAAAGATCAAACTTGCAGCAGAGGCAAAAACGTTATCCGTCCATCTGCTTTCATCCACTTATCCGGGGTCGGGTTGCGGGGGCAGCAGCCTAAACCGAGAGGCCCAGACTTCCCTCTCCCCAGCCACTTGGGCCAGCTCCGCTCCTGCGAGGGAATCCTTAGGCGTTCCCTGGGCAGCCGAGAAATATAGTCCCTCCAGCGTGTCCTGGGTCCTTCTTTAGGTCTCCTCCCGGTTGGTCGTGCCCAGAAAACATCACCAGGGAGGCTTCCCAACTAGATACCCAAGCCACCTCAACTGGCTCCTTTCGATGTGGAGGAGCAGTGGAATCTACTCTGAGCTCCTCCCAGATGATCGAGCTTCTCACCCTATTTCTTAGGGAGAGCCCAGACACCCTGCGGAGAAAACTCCTTTCAGCTGCTTATATCCACGATCTCGCTCTTTCGGTCACTACCCAAAGCTCGTGACCATAGGTGAGGGTTGGAATGTAGATCAACCGGTGAATTGAGTGATGCAGACGTTGTACCGGTCTGTCAGTTCACCGGTTGATCTACATTCCTACGTCTGCATCACGGCAGATGCAGCTCTAACCTATCTATTGATCTTGTGCTACATCTTTCCCTCTGAGATATTTAAACTCCTCCACTTGAGGCGGGACCCCGTCCTTGGCCTGGACGAGGCATAAACATTAATAAACAAATATTATTGTCCACCTTTATATAAACAACTAAGACAAAATATGTTTTGTATTTAATGTGTTTATAAAATAAATGTTTACAACATCAGCTTCTGTATTTGTGAAATCCATGGCCTGTGCGGCTTTTTGTCACAATATAAATTGAAACTCTAGACACATCAGCCAAAATGAAATATTGATGAGGTCACATAAAGGAATTTTATTCAAGGTCACATAAAGGAATTTTATTCAGACAGCAGTGATAATGCATTGTGTGTTAAATGATGTTGCTTATTCCTTTATGTGTTGTTAGGATGAAGCGGAAGTTTTATTCGTGGGAAGAATGCATGAACCTCAGAGAAGTGAAGGTACGGATGGATTACATTTACCAGCAGCATAGATGTAGAGTTTCAGCATCAGTGAAAGTGATTCAATAAAAACGGTTTCACAACTTGGGCAGTGTTGCTAAACACATCGTTTTAGTTCCTGACGCACTTAAAATCTTTCTTCCCTCTTTCCACTTCATCTGTCACTGCAGTCACTGAAGAAGCTGAACCACGCGAACGTGGTGAAACTAAAGGAGGTTATCAGAGAGAACGATCACCTCTACTTTGTTTTTGAATACATGAAAGAGAATCTGTACCAGCTGATGAAGGACAGGTGAGAAGAGGAACGCTACATTCAGAATTACACGCGCTTGTCCGGGCTAAATCACCAACCTCTGCTAAATGATAAGTTTAACCTACTGATGCAGGTAAACATACGTCATTTCCTGTTAAAATCCCTGTAGCCAAGGTAAACAGAAAAGGAAATAAGCCACAGACCTTTTTGGACCTATACAGCTGTCTTTCACCTTGCTTGTTATTATGTGGACTTCTGAAATCACTCGTGGTTTTCTGACTTTGTGGGAGCAGCGAATTGGAACGCTTTTGCTCCCGTTTCACATCTGAAACACTCCCAGTTGTGAATGTGCTTGTGGGTAAAATGTCACTATTACGCTGTGCACCGCCTTCATGTCCAGTGCAAAGAAGGGGGAAGAGTTGAGTTGCTGTTAGGTAATCAGGCCAGACATTTGCACATCATGAATATTAATGAGTGAAGCTCCAAATCCTGCCGTTTTTTTGCCCCCGACTTCATCAACTATCTTCTACTTCCTGAAACAGGAGCACCAGAGCTTTTCCTCTCTGAAAACTGCTCCCAAGGCATTCATTTCTATAGAGACCACAGCAGATGTACTGAAATAACGAGTGTATGACCCTTTTAACTTGTCTGACCAGTGGTCAAACATTACTGTATAAGAAACATGTCTTTGTTGTGATCATTTCCCTAACCTGCTCCTTAGAATTACATATTGGTTTTATGTTCACAGAAGAAAATTGTTTCCTGAGTCAGTGATAAGAAACATGAGCTTTCAGATTTTACAAGGCCTGTCTTTTATTCATAAACATGGTAGGTGCACCGTGTTGCATCCATGCTTCTATTCCTACTAGAGGTGTCTCATCCTGCAAGATTTACTATGTTTGAAAGGTGAAAATGACACGATTACAAACGGCTCTCATAAATGCTGTAAAAGATCAGAAATAAAATGATTGCTTGGATAATTATCAAATTCTTGCAGTTTGTGACCCCTCCATAACCACTTTCTGCTCTGTATGTGTTGTAAACAGATGTGTGGATGCATGCACGTGTATACTTTTACCAGATCTTGTTATGGTTGTATTTTTACGAAGCAAACACAAACGGATGCAAACATGCATGCTCTGTGTAAATGGCCGTGCACCCCCTTCATCATAAATGCATGCACTTTTCCTCCTAAATCTTTCTTTAATGTCTCTTTTATCCTCTCTTCCCTCTCTTCTTTCTTCGTTTGGATTTGCTGTTAGAGAGAATAAGATGCTCACAGAGAATGAAATTAGAAACATCATGTTTCAAGTTCTGTCTGGGTTGGCTTTTGTTCATAAGCATGGTAAGAAGCTTTATCTTTTTTTCTAGGAGTAGAACAACTTTTAGCTCTTTAGTTTGTTATATTTCATGGAAACAGTCATGTCATGATGACTCATGAGTCACAATGGACTTCCTATGCAAATAAGCGTGTATTATTCTGTGTAGCCACTAGGTATGTGAGTGAATTTCCTTAGACATGTTGAGATACCTAAGTCAAAATACATATTATCCTGACATCATAGACTTTTGGCTACACTTGATTAATGCACAGATGTTTTCTTGTACCTAGAAAAAACAATGGAAGGTTAAATGTATGGGTTTATATGTGTTGGGCTTCCATTTTTCTCAGGAACTTGAAATTTGTGACGTAATTAGGCCCGAGCAGCGAAGCGCTGCGAAGGCCTCTTGTATTGGATTTACTCTTGAGCTTACTTCCAGTGTGGGCAAAATATTAATTCAGTTGTGATTTTTTTCAGGTTTTTTCCATCGAGACATGAAGCCAGAGAATCTTTTGTGCATGGGTCCAGAACTGGTGAAAATAGCAGATTTTGGACTGGCCAGAGAAATCCGCTCCAAACCCCCCTACACAGATTATGTATCGACTAGATGGTAAGATTCATGTTTTCCTGTTTGGAAACAATTGAGCATTCTAGCGATCTCAACCAGGAATCAAAGTTCATACTTGCAAACATCACGATGAGATGATCTTTTGTCCTTTTTTCCTTGGACTACATCAATTTTTACAATGTTTAGATGAAATGTTCTGTATTTAGGTACCGAGCTCCCGAGGTCCTTCTCAGGTCGTCTACCTACAGCTCTCCAATTGATCTGTGGGCCGTGGGCTGCATCATGGCTGAACTCTACACCCTTCGACCTCTTTTTCCTGGAAACAGTGAAGTGGATGAGATCTTTAAGATTTGCCAAGTCCTGGGCACTGTTAAAAAGGTGAGAAAACTGTGGACAGAAATAGATGGAAGAGCTCATATTTCCTCCAGGTGCCTAATTCGAGTTCATGTTCAAAGACCAAGTTGACTGAGAAACTGTTATTTTACTTATTTATGAAATACGATCGAAAAATGGAAGTTTCACATGCAAGCTAAACATGACGATAGTCTTCTACCCATATTTCCTTTATTAGCTGCTGACAGCAAATAAATGGGAAAAATAGAAGATCAGAAAAAGCCACACAGATTTATGTCACACTGAAAATTAGTATTCATGGACCCACCCATCTTGGCTGGCGAAGTAAAAGGCTGTTGTTGACTTGGCGTCCAGGAGAGGGCAGAGCGCATCTTGGCTAGTAGAAGCTAACCATTAGCTTTAGCGACTCCACAGCATGGCAGAACTCTTTCATAAATGTGTTGTAGAATATACAGGTAATGCTGTTACAGATGGAATGTCCAAGAATATGTGCATTAGGCTATTTCTTTTTTAATACCTGGTTTGATTGTTTCTCAAACTAGGCGGATTGGCCGGAGGGCTACCAGCTAGCGTCTGCGATGAATTTTCGTTTCCCTCAATGTGTGCCCACCCACCTGAAGACCCTGATCCCCAATGCCAGCAACGAGGCTATTACGCTGATGAAAGACCTCCTGCAGTGGGATCCCAAAAGTAGACCCACAGCTGTACAGGTATCATCACCAAAGTCTTAAAGTCTATGTCTCTGTTAGACGTGAGAGCTTTAGACCAACAGCAGCTTGTTTTTGTTTCTATCCATGGATAGGCCTTGCGTTACCCTTACTTCCAAGTGGGGCAGGTTTTAGGGCCTCGTCCTCAGAGCCAGGAGGTCAAAAAAGTTGAGACCAGGATGCAGGTTCAGAAACAGATGTCTGACTCAAAGACAGATCCTCAGCAGTCTTCGTCTGAGTCCAAAGCCTCCACGTCCTCTTCTAGAAACCAGCAGCAGCATCAGCCTCTTCAGCCAATCCCCCTGCCTCAGTCTGAGAGCAAAGGAGTCCCCACCCATGCAGTGAGTAACTCCATAAAATCATAGCCTTACAATTCAGAACGTTATTATGCAGGAAAACATATTATTTGGATCCTTCATTGGTGTGAAAAACGTGTGCAGAAGGCAGCCTCACTGGGCAGTGAAAACAGTGCTGTAAGCAGCGAGATGGGGTTGCTGAAGAGTGGTCGCCGTCGCTGGGGACAGGCTTTAACCAAGACGTCAGACAGCTGGGAGCAATCCGACCAATCAGAAACGGCTGCCTCCAACTCCAAGAAGCCCAGTCTGGGGAACGCGGAGGAGGATCAGAGCTCTGAAGACCACTGCCCACAGTAAGAACCCCATCTACAGTACTTTACCAGTGCTTTAAAGAGAACTTCTTTAAATGTTTAATTCTGTTCTCAGGCCCAAGGAGCAAAAGCCTCTTTACTCGTTCAGGACTGTTACAAAAATTCCTACCAATGTTAAGGTTGGCCAAATGGACCATGGTCTTCGTGGATCTGCAGCACGGCAGCACTATCTCAGCCAGTCACGCTACCTCCCTGGTAGGACAGATTTGTACAAAATTATAATCTCTTGCTTACTTTTCTATATTATTTTTATTTTGTAAAAGAATAAACATGTTCTCACATTTATTGCTTGAAAAGGCTTGATTGGGAAAAATCAAACTTCCTCTGGAGTTAAGGACCTGGGTGGCATGACACTGCGGGATCTGTGGGAGAGCTCTTCCAGTCCTGTAAATAAACCACTCGCTCCTATTGGCAGAGGATTATCCATCTCTAGAGCCAACACAGGTAATGGGGAATTATGTCTAATGCTGAAGTGGGCATTTGGTGTAGCTCGTCATGTCTGACATGAACGTTTTCCTTTCATTTCTTAGTAATCCTTCAAATGTTCTTGTTTGTTTAAACGAGCCTCTGTATCTTTGATGTTCTGCTCCATCACATCTCTGACATCTCTGTAAGAAATATAAAGCTCTGTCATAACGGTGCTAATCCCACCCGGCGTCTCTACAAACACTATTTGTAGCAATATCTTTTGCTACTGCTACAGTTTGTTTAGATTTCTAGCCTAGTTCTGATCATAACTCGTGAATTCCCAGTTCATGTCCCCTAATGGACAACGCTGTGTTGGGAGGCTAAGTGTCAGCAGCTTTAGAGACACGAGACAGGTTTAAATGATTAGTTGTGCGGATCGACACACAATCTGTTCTCCCTTCAGTGCCTGTCTCATTCTTCCAACTTGTCTTTCCCATTTATTATGTATTGATGAGATGAAGACTGTTAAAGATCAGATGTTCCTTCAATGACCCTCAACCTGTCCTCTTCGTTCTACCTCTCAACACTTCCTCTGCATGCTTTGCTTGAATCCGCAGCTCGGTGTAGTGGCATTAAACAACTTCTTTCCTCCATGATTCTGTCTTGATATTTAATTTTCTTTACTTTTTCTTTCATCTCTGCATGAATGGCTTCTGCTCTTTGGCTGTGAGATTAGAAGAGAATGCCACTAAATCGGTGGATAGCACACCGGAGAAAACTGTTGTCAAAGAGAGAATTCTGGAGAAAATTGATCTGTCCAAAGGTATTTAAGACAGGAGACTTTGTGTCAATATGCAAGAGCACCAAGGGCGCCGCGGTGCTTGTTAACCCATTTACTGCAGTCATTTCTGCTTTGGGGGCCTTAAATGGCATTTGCATTGTTTTCTTATCAATATTTCTAAAATAATCAGTGATGGGAGAATATTTGTTTTTTATAATGTCTTAAATCTTAAATCACGCAAAACTAATCTGGGACACGAGAAATAAAACCAAGGGTCTATTATGTGGTCACGTTAATATCCGCAGCATCCTTCCTAAGCATGAACAATTAGAACATATACAAAGCAACTCTAATATCTCTATCCTGGGAATCTCTGAATCCTGGCTCGCGAGCTCCTCTCCTAAATCTGCAGTTACCTTTCCAGACTACACAGTATTCAGGAAAGATAGAACTGGAGCGAGAGGAGGAGGAATAATAGTTTACATTAAAAAACAGCTTAAATGTGCTATACTTGATTCTCCAACTGATGTAGAAATAGAACATATTTCTGTTAAAATCTCCCTTTCACCAGAAATGTCTTTCACACTGATCTGTCTATACCATACATCTGCAAAAAAAAAAAAAAAAAAAAATTCTATGATCAACTACGAGCGCTAATCAAACATAACAGTGTAAACAACAAATCCAACGAGATAATTGTAACAGGTGACTTCAACATAAACTGGGGCTGTAAAAAAGAACAAATCTAAAGCTCATAATGGATGAATTGAATTATAACCAACTTATAGATAAACCCACGAGAATAACAAAACATTCAGAAACCACAATTGATCTGGTCTTAAGTATTAAACCTGAGCGCATCACTAAAACCCACAACCTTATAACGGGCATCTCAGACCATAAGTTTATCTTATTTACCAGAAAGCTTACAAAAGCACAGACAGAAAATAACACATGCAGTTCTTCCAATAATAGATCGTTCTATAAATTTATACAAGAATCAGCGAGATAATGTAGCAGAAGCACTAAAATCGACCGACTGGGAACCTCTACTGCACAGTAAAGACCCACAATTCTGTAACAGCCACCTAACTAACTCACTCAAAAACGTTATATCTACTTACTCCTCTAAAGGTCGACAGTGCACAAATAAAACACCTGCTCTGCCGTGGGTAAACAATGAATGCAAAACCCTTATGAAAAAAAGAGATCTACTCCTTAAACAATACCTGAAAACAGGACTAACTCTGGACAGACAGCGTTTCACTTCAATGCGAAACAAGGTAACACTAAGCCTAAAACAAGCCAAAGCTAACGTCTTCATTAATTTAATAATGAATGCCAACGGCAATGGTAAACTCATCTGGCAAAACCTAAATAGACTCCTAGGCCGCCACTCAAACAAAAACATCAAAGTAACCGAACTACATGTTAATGGCACCATTATTAGAGAACCCTCATCCATTGCCAGCACATTAAACATCTTTTTTATAAACTCAGTCAAGGAGATCAGTCAGAAGTTCAACCCCACCATCCCCATCGCAAACACAAAAGATACCGATCAGAACCTTTTGACAATCACCCAAATCACAGACACGGAGGTGGCTAAGATAATTGCGGGCCTAAAAACTCAAAAGCCGTTGACGCATTTGGCCTAACTACCAGCTTTTTAAAAGAACACAGAGACCTCCTTATTCGCCCAATAACACACGTACTAAACATGTCTTTCGAAAGCTCCACTGTCCCATCAGATTGGAAAATCACAGCAGTCACCCCAATATTCAAATCAGGCGCTAGAACTGACATGGCCAGTTATCGCCCCATTAGTAAATTCCCGGTTGTGTCCAAAATAGCAGAGAAATGGGTAGTCAAACTTGTAACCGCACATCTTGAGGATACCAAACCATCAATACACAGAATGCAATGCAGCTTCAGATCCCATCATTCTACAGAATCAGCCTTGTGCGTATTAATAAAGAACCTGAAAAGCTTGCTGGACGAGAGTCATTGCGTCAGGGCAGTCTTTCTAGATCTAAAGAAAGCTTTCGATTCAGTTAACCATCGCATGCTATTATCCAGGCTGACTCAATTTAACATCTCCAACCGAGCTCTTCAATGGTTTGCGTCCTACCTAAGTAAACGTAAACAGTACGTGGCCTTTGATGTTACAAAATCCACACATCTGGACTGCGAGACCGGCGTCCCCCAAGGATCGGTTCTTGGACCAATATTATTCTCTCTCTTTATCAACAACCTACCTGACGTGGGATGAGGATCAGCACCTCCAAATCTGAGACCGTGGTTCTCGACCGGAAAAGGGTGGCTTGCCAACTCCGGGTCAGGAGAGAGGTCCTACCTCAAGTGGAGGAGTTTACGTATCTCAGGGTCTTGTTCACGAGTGAGGGTAGGAGGGATCGGGAGATCAACAGGTAGATTGGTTCGGCGTCTGCAGTGCTGCGGACGTTGAGCCGATCTGCCGTGGTGAAGAGGGAGCTGAGCCAGAAAGCCAGGCTCTCGATTTACCGGTCGATCTAGGTCCCAATTCTCACCTATGGTCATGAGCTTTGGGTAATGACCGAAAGAACGAGATTGCGGATACAAGCGGCCGAAATGAGCTTCCTCCGTAGGGTGGACGGGCTCAGCCTTAGAGATAGGGTGAGGAGCTCGGACATTTGGGAGGGACTCGGAGTAGAACCGCTGCTCCTCCAGATCAAAAGGAGTCAGTAGAGGTGGTTTGGGCATCTGGTCAGGATGCCTCCTGGACGCCTCCCTGGGGAGGTGTTTCGGGCATGTCCTATCAGCAGGAGGCCCCCGGGTCGATCCAGGACAATCTGGTCCGGGAACGCCTTGGGGTCCTGCCGGAGGAGCTGGTGGAGGTGGCCGGGGAGAGGACGGGATGGAGCTCCCTAGTTGGGATGCTGCCCCCGCGACCCGGACCCGGATAAGCGGAGGAAGACGACGACGACTACCTGACGTCTGCAAAAATGTCTACACACAAGTGTACGCAGACGATGCCATCATATACCTGCAAGCTAACAACATCAAACAGGCTGGTAATGACCTAACAGCAGCTCTATCATTAATCTACGACTGGTTAAATGAATCTTGTCTCCAACTAAACACTTCCAAAACCGTATGCATGTACTTGACAAAACGTTGTTTAAAACAACAAAAATCAAATGTATTTCTGAAGGGGGTAGAACTTAAGCTAGCACCAAAGGTCAAATACCTCGGGGTCACCCTAGACCCAACGTTAACCTTCAAAAGCCACATAAGAAAAGTAACCCAGATGTTCAAGTTCAATAATGAAAACTTTAACCACATCAGCAACAGTCTAGACACAGACTGCCAAAATCTACTTTCACGCGATGATCAGCTCCCACTTAGAATATGGCCCGACAACTTGGTCGCTCAACTGCCCAACTACACTAAAACCGGTCATAACACAATACAAAAGAAGCCTAAAGCTACTTGATAAAAAAACCAAGGCTCACCGCCATTGCCACGTGTTGAAAAAGCATAAACTCCTCAACCTAGACAATCTAATCAAACTCAAAAACTTGTGTCTAACATATAAGGTACTACACTCTCTCGCCCCACCTCCGTTAAGCAACTTTATTAGATGCAATGGCACCTCAAAAAGAGCCACCCGTGCATTATCACGCAGGGACTTCGTGATCCCTTACAGAAAAACAACATTTGGACAGAAAGTCTTCTCAGTACAGGGTGGCCACCAGTGGAACAGCCTCCCCCAATCCATTAGAAAATGTTCCACTTTTGCCACATTCAAATCGGAAACCAAAAAATGACTCTGGTCAAATCAGCTATGTAACCACGGTGCAAAAACATGATCATGAAACCAAGATATTGTCACTACAAACGCAATTTACGTTTACATTCATGCTATCCTTACATGTATGTTCATTAACGTGCACTGTCCCAAATAAAATATTCATTCATTCATTCAAATTAGGAATGTGTTGGTCCAATACATAAAACTGGGCTTATATTAAAAGAAAGATATTTATTAATTTCCGTCTAGTTGCAGTTTGTGCATCTGTATTGGGAGGGGAGGGGGTTGTTCTTGTGAAACCGGGTCTTTCCACCAAACGCATACGTGTTTTGTAACGTTTGCACACAGGAATTAGCCGCTGGTCTAGTGGATAGGTGTTTTTCCACCGGCTGTGAAGCATTGCGTTTTGGATGTGTCCCTGAAGTGTGGTGACATGTCGCTCTATTAAATTTACGCTTTGAGTCTGTTTTTTACATACTACGCTTCCAGAACCCCTCAAGCTCAGACCTCGCCAGACAGGAAGTCAAACATGAAAGCAGTGGTAGTCAAGGTAAACGGCACAGAAAAGTAATCACAGACCTTTTTGGATATAAGCTGCCATCTTTCTCCTATCACTGTGTGAACTGCTGAAATCACGCGTGGTTTTACAATTTTCCATGATTCCGTGACCTTCCATAACCAGCTGAGTGGATTGTTTTCGCTGCCGTTTTGTGTCTGAAATCTAGCTGGTGGGGTGGGTAAAACACGTCTGTTACGTGCTACTTACGCATCTAGTTGAAAGACACTGTGACGGCATAAATGTGCATGTTATATTGGTAAATGTCGTTATCGGCCATAGCAGCAATATTAATATCGCATATTGATATCGGCCCAAATAACCGTTAATATCGGTTTATCCGGAGCTTAATTCTTTGAACCTAGTTTCTCATGTATGGCGAAGTTTTGTTTAAATGCTCCAGAAGGTGATGTGTGTCTTTCTACTCTCAAAGGAAACTTTGTAAGCACCAAATACAACCTCTCCAGTGGCTACATCCCTTCTTTCCAAAAGAAGGAGGTCGGCACGCTGGGACAACGAATCCAGCTGGCCCCTCTGTCTGGTCAGCACACAAGTAAGGATTTATTTTAATCCTGCAGAGTGAACAAAGTCAGTTTAACGTTGAAAATCTACTTTCCTTCCTCTGATTTAAATCCTTCATAGCTCCAACTGTTCTGTTTGACAACGCTCTGGGACCTCATTTATCAAGCTTGCTTACGCACAAAACGGGGTCGGAAGACTGCGTAAGCAACTTTCCACGCAAACTTTGGGATTTATGAAAGAAAACTTAGCGGAAAAATATGCGCAACTTTAAGTTGACTAAGGACCTGGCTTACACACATGTTGGACATGGAGAGCACCTGCAGTGCTGCTGCTGAGAAGATAAAATTATGAAATTCTGCAGCATTATCACTTGTACTGCTTCGTTTTCACACAGAACAAGACCCCCCACCCCCACACGTGCGTGCGCACAAACACACACACACACACACACACACACACACAGAGCCTGAAGCGCAGAATACGGAATGCAGAATATCAGCAGGGGGACAGATTGAGACAGAATGTCATGCGTCTGTGACAGTGTGTGTCCTGTCACTGTGACCCGGTTGATCATGTCCCCTGGCTACTTAGAAAAGGGAGATCTCTTTTTGGCTGACTGGTTAGCGCACGTGACTTTCACCTGAGAGTCTGGGGCTGAATTCCCAATTGGACCATTTTTTTTATATCCGCCACAGATCTCTCTGAAGAATTCACAACATTGACGGCTTCAGCAACGCTGTGCCACCCCGTGGATTTTCACTTATTTGTTTTGCAAAAGCACTTCCTTTCATTTCTCCACCTCACCCACAGGTACCTCAATTTCTGCTTCTGTTAAATAGCGCTTCCTTGATCTGCGGTCGTGATCGAAATGCTGCAACAAGCCGGCTTATGTTTATGCATGAGATCCACAAGGCACTTTGCATTGACCATTTATGGCAGTAAGTGGGCGTGGTGAGGGCGGGATCTGACTATAAAGCAGCTGAGAACATTTTTAGTTTCTGATTTATGAAGCGGAGATTGCGTGCAGCTGTGCGTACCCCATGTTTGATAGATCACAAACCTACTTGGCGTGAGTACATTTTTTTTTTGCTGAGCTTAAGTACGGTTTTAGTAAGGATTCTACGCAATGTTTGATAAATGAGACCCCTGCTCTTTTCTTCTGACCCCAGTATTTCATTTCTTCATTTTTATCTTCTTACCTTTTAGTCAACCCTTCCTCCTATTCTCCTGATAATAAAAAGAAAAAGTCTGCTAAGCTCAAGCCTCTTTCCAACTCGACACAGAGCGAAACCACTGAAGGTATTGCCATCTGCTTCTGTAATCTATTGGGTCAAAAGTGTTTCTTCTATTTTACACACCCACTCTCCTCATGAACATCTTATTGATTCTGACTCTAAATCTTTATTTCTGGTGAAAAGCCGTTGACCAGCTGCTTTTCCTTTAGATTACGAGGGCTGGAGGAGGCGGACAGACAGGACTCAGGCGAAGGAGAGCGGTTACTCAGCGTTGGGGAAAACCTCTGGAAATCTCCTGAGCAGAGCTCCCGCTGTGCCGCCCGTCCACGGCCGGGTGGACTGGGCATCCAAGTATGGCGGAAACCGATAAACCGGGCCAGAGATCCAACAATCTTGTGAAGTTGGTGTTTAACTTGATGACTCCAATCGTCTCACAGAGGAACCATACATGATTTACCTGATGAGATTGTGTTTTGTAGATTTTATCCAAGAGAATTCAATTCCCATTTTAGAGCTTGCATGTTATAAGTAGGATGTGATTTAAAATGTGTTTTTTTAAGTGTTATTTATTTGTAAAGCCTGATTTATTGGAGTCTTCTCAGCAGATTGTGACAAAGCAATGACCCAAGTTGGAAGAAATCATTGGTGTGGTAAAAGCTCCACACCAATCTATTGTATTACACAATTTACACAAAAGAAGCCTTTTGTACAACTTTTGTATTAATAAATGTGTTCAGTTAACAAAAGACACGACAGACATTCTTTTGGAAATGTTATATTTCAAGTTCAAACTGACATTTTTTATTTAAAACACAAAACAATGACAGACGCTGAGAGTTGGATCCAACAGAACAGGTGTTTCAGGAGGACTCTGCTGGTTTCTGGAGCAACGCCAACCCCAGCTTCCCCACCATCAGAAGACTGGAACAGGAAAATATTTGTGAAGCTCGGCTGGATTTCACATGTTTACACAATGTCAAAAATACCGAACCAGACCTCGCTGCTGCTATGAGACCAGCCGGCATGACCTTCCTGGATCCGTAGAACCTCTTTCCCATGATGGCAGCGAGAGTTCCTGATGTGCCTGACATGGAGAACACAAGTTCGTGAATAGAGTCACAATGATTATAGTTTTTTGTTCAAAATATTTTACCAACCTAGTGAAACCCAAACATTATTAGGATCATTGGAGACTTGGTAGGCACCAAATCCTGCAAGTCCCCCAAAGAGAAGACCGGCAGCAAGTGAGGGGACACTGCCTGAGTGAGAGAGACAAGTGTCATCACAAAATACTTGTTTCTATGAACACTTCCACTATTTTTTTCTGTTTAAATAATAAATTGCAATTTTCATGTAACCTGCTATAAAAGTTTACACGTTCAATCAAGTTCTTTAGACAATATTGTCGCTATTATAATCAGTTGGTCTTGTCTTTGGGATTTTCCAACATCTGCCGCTCCAATTTATATTTAGTTACCTCATTTAGAACGATGTAACATCGGTTTCTATGGGATTATCAAATAAGTATTTGGAATTAAAAATGACATTACTGCAAGAAATGAATCGTATAGTTTAAAAACATTTCTTATAATTTATAAACAAATGAATTCCAAATCTTAGTTCAAATATTTCTGTATCCCTAGTTCTTACGTGTAAAACATGACCCAATGATCCTTTGAGACATTATTTTGGGAAAATTAAAGATATTTACGTTTAATCTGACACAGCTTAAAATAATTATTCACCTGCTTTTACATAACCAATGACTCCCCCGGATGCGACTAGAGTGGCATATCCATATCCAACCCAGTCCACGGACATGTTGGACACCTGTCGGGGACAAGTGGACAATCACTAACACAGTTAGCAGTAAATATCTACGCCTAAACGAGCTCCTGTTTTTAATCTATTTTTTCTTGCGAAGACTAAACAATGTAAAAGTCTTTTCGACTCTACCTGTAACCCAGAACTGTTACAAAAACTAACGGGACGAAGAGAAAATATCCTTGTTGCTTTGAAGAAATGTTTTTGTCAGCTTGCAGCACAATTTGGCTCTGGAGATAAGTCGCACGCGCTTGGACTAGCATCGTTACAAAACACAGAAAACAATCAAAACAAACAATTTGACACCAATAAAGATGCAGTTTCTTTAAATCTAATCTGGAGTTTTAGATTTACAAGTGAGTAAAAGTTAAAGAAGTCAATACAACGATGTAAAACCTTTTTTGTTTGTCCTCTGCAACGCCACCAGCGAAGGTAATTTGTTGTCCACCCGAGCACAAATAAGTGGTGCACCACGTTTTGCACCCTAAGTAGACGATGGGAAATGTAGGCAGCGCTAATATGTGTTAGGTTGTGAGTTAGGGAGTTGCTGCCCTCCAGTGGTCAAAGCTGGTACTAAACTAAGTTTTTAGAAAATTAGGAGAAAATTTAGCCTCCTAATAGGTGTTTCTAGTCTGCTTTTGAGGGCTAAATCCCTCCTACATTTAATCTCAGCCTCCCTTAAGTTTAAGATTAATTTATTAATTGAAATATACAGTTATTTTTAGTGTTAGTGGTTATTTTATTTTAAGAAACCAGTAACAGAAGACCACTGTAGTCATTTTTTACTGTTCGTTCTTTGTCTAAGTAGAGTTTTATAAGACTTACTTTGTAAAAAAAAAAAAAAAATTGCTTTATATGTTTCATTTAAAGAATAGGGAGTTTGCGCCCTCACCTGGCAAAAAACAGAACACTGATTTTAAGCACTGTTTAGTGAAGAGAAGAAAATGGTTGCTGTCCTCTAGTGGCCCAATCTGGTATTGAACTTAATTTTTAGCTAATTAGAAGAGAATATTTAACCCCTCATAGGTGTTTCTAGCCTGCATTTGACGGGGCTGAATCCCTCCTAAATTAAATCATAGCTTCCCTCAACTGTAAGATTATATATATATATATAAATGTTGGTGGTTATGTTAAGCAACCAGTAACAGAAGACAATTGCAGTTGTTTTTTTACTGTATGTTCTTGGTTTAAATAGACTTTTATAAGACTTACTTTGTAAAAACGATCGCTTTGCGTGTGTCATAGGAGAAGGAAGAGGTTGAGAATGAGAATAAGGGACTGCAGGTATAAAGTTACAATAGTTAGTTAAAAAAACACATCCTGTACAATTTTTCAAAACAAAACAAAACAAAGGCGTTGTGACATCAGCAACAGGCTCATTTAACTAAAAACGGAAATTAAAATTATGCTTTATGCAACAGTGTTCTAAAAAACGGTATGTGCAGTGGGGAACTGGCCAAAAGTACTGGTACGCAAAAGTTTCTTGTAGGTCAACTGGATGATAAAAACTATTTTTAAGGGATTTTTCCGCCATCTAGCGGATTAGAGCTGTTATTTCAAGCAGCGTTCGTTAAGCTAAACAATAACCCAGTAGAATTTCCTGTAGATACCTTCAAAATAAAACACACCGCTTTAAAAATTCTACGTGGTTTTAAATTGGCATTAACAGCACATGTTGTTCAAAAAACGGGGAAGCCTGAATGTCTTCACGTATACAAACAACATAACTACTAAAACTACTTAAATCTATGTTAAGTATCTGTGTTCAACTAGAATAAATAATGAGCTAAAGCAAGAATTATTAGCAACTAGCTAACAGCACTACAAACGTTGATCATTCGCCCTCTAGTGGCCAAAAGGTGAAACTAAATACACAGGGATTTTACTCTTAATAAATGAAATAAGGTTATTAATATATTTTATAAAATAAATGTATTTAGTTTCACATTTTTACCAGCATAAGCTTATGATTTATAATCAAACATTCAGATATAAAACTATTAGTTTAGAGATAAAGAAAAATACCCACCTACATCCAATAAACACACTAAAACATTGATGCTGACATAGAATTTTTTAAAGGTCTATATTTTGTTTTAAACAAGGAAAACTAACTTTGGCTGTCCACAATGAATAATAAAAAAAACCTATCAAATATAATAAAACTTACCAGCAACAGAATTTAAATGCAGTTATTTTTTTTACTGTTTGCTCTTTGTCTAAGAAAACTTTTAATTTAATTTCTCATAATCTTTCATTTGATTTGATTGATGACCACATACTCTGTGGATTTGTATGTTTTATTTAGGTCAACTAGATTGAAACACAACTCAATCCCTTAGTTTTTTTTTTTGTTTTTTTTTTCAAAACTTTATTGAACAATGTAACTCAATCCCTTAGTATCTGGTTTTGGACAGTAAGGATTTGTCCGCCCCCCAGTGGACACAAGCTGATACTACAGGCAGTGTTGAAAAAGCTAAACAAGAGACAACACCTTACCACTTCCTTTGGATTCCTTCAAAGTAAAACATACCACTTAAAAATTACTTTGGGTTTTAAATGAGCGTTAACGACATAGTTAGTCTAGATAACAGGAACACCCGAACGCCTTCACTTATATAAACTTCCCAGCTACTAAAACTCAAACTAAATTAAATTATTTGTGTTCAATGAGAATAAATCAACGAGCTGAAGCAGGAACTAGCAGCGGCTAGCTAGGCTACAAAACGTATCGGGCCATGCGCCCTCTGGCGGCCACGGGGCGAAAATAAATCCACGTTACACTTGGAGGGATTTCAAATTAAGTTATTAATATGTTATATAAAATAAATACAGGTGTATAGTACCTAATCAAACAAGTAAGATATAAAACTATTAGTTATTGGTTCAAAGACCAATTAATACCCAACTGCATCTAATAAACACACTCATTGATCATAGACGTTGATTTGTTTTTCTTTAAAAAAGGGTTCATATTGTGTTCTGGGCATGAAAAGCATTCATGTATTTGTATTTCACAGTAAATTAAATAAAAAAACCAATTTGTTAAAAAAGCTATTGCAAAGCTGAGTAAATGCATTGACCCCAACAGCTGATTTAAATGGATAAACCTGCTTAGTCAGATAAATTGAGTTTATATGCATACATTTTATTTGTATGGTTTAAAGGGCAAAAGGAGAATAAGCAAAATTTAAAAACTACACTTTAAAATAACTGAAGGTAGAAGAAACACATTTCCAAATCACTCTTATTCATAATAATGCTTCAGTAACCTTCCAGTAGACAGCACATTACTGTTAGAGCAGTCACATAAATACAGGCTGCGTTTAACCCTGAGGGTAATATTAGTACACCATTTATTTCAGAAAGATTTGACCACCTGTATGCTTTAAGCGTACTAATTTAAAAGACATAGTGTGACATAAGTGTTCCTCAGTGAAAATCAATGTAAAATTTTTAAATACAATTTTTCCCACATTTGATCAGTTCCTTATGTGTTTTGCTCATTACTGTAGTTTTATACACCACACTGTGATTACAGCATCCAGCTTCCTCTGAAAAATGAAAGCTGCCTTACTATCACTTAGGGTTTTCTCTGCCTGACTAATGTGTCATTTTGCCAAATCCCCCCCCCCACACACACACACAAATAAATAAAAATTAAAACAAAGAAAATCGAACTCCAAGACTTTTGTAAACGTTTGCAGCCCTGTTTATTATTATTATTTGCACGTCATTTAATACAATTTGTGTGCATGAATAAAAAGTAGGCTTACATGCTGCGCAAATGTCCATTCCAACAGTTGGAATCCAACTCAACATTCACACTAAACTGAGCTAATCAATCTTTTTTGTAAAAGCTTCAGAAATAAGTGGGAAATGTTGTTATTTCGACGGTCGAAAGAGGGCGCGAGAGGACTGCATCAAGAACTGTGCCGCTTCATGAGGATTTACCTGGACATCTAGTCAGTGAATTACGGTAGGGAAGGGGGGGGTCCCCAAACGTCACTGTTTTATTTGGTTATTTTTAAATAAATAAATAAATAAATAAATAAATAAATAAATAAATAAAGGGGTTTTTAGGGGGGTTTAGGTTAGAAAATGGATTAAAAGTGAAGTCCTCAGTAAAACGATTCAACATTTAAACATTTCATATTGATTTTCTCATAAGCTTCGTTTAATTAATAAAATGAGTTTTCAAAAGTTGATTTTTATTTAACTGGAGTGGATTAGTGCACTTTCTGTTCTCATTTCACAGCGGATCTTATGATCTTTATTCCGACACAAAGTGGCGCTATGATACAATTTACTGTCCAGAGGGAGCAGCGATGATCGAATGAAGCCGAAGCCTCTCATCTGGATATAAAAGCAACTTTTAATCTCAAGGAGACATCCGCTGCTGTCCGGAGACACTTTAATAATAGGAAGCAATCTTTTCCTGTTCGTTTTTCCTTTTTTCTGAACCAACATGTATGACAAAGAAACAAAATACAGAAAATAATCATTTTACAACAACAAAGATTAAAAGATAATATTTTAAAAGATCTCTTTTAGGAAATCTGCATGTCTTAACCAACTGGACATCAGCTAAAACAAAAACACCTCATGCCAAAATAATAATACAAAACTCTCCTGAGCTGCAAAATAATAATAATAATAATAATAATAATAATAATAATAATAATAATAATAATAATAATAATAATAGTATGTAGCAGATTTTAGACGCAGCTTCAGGATGTAGCCGGGGCCGTGCTGTTCATAAACCAGCCTCTATCGCAGAGCCCATAGAAGCTTTAGACCCCCCCCCCTTCTCCTCCACACACACACACACACACTCTCTCTCTCTCTCTCTCTCTCTCTCTCTCTCTCTCTCTCTCTCTCTCTCTCTCTCTCTCTCTCTCTCTCTCTCTCTCTCTCTCTTCCACCACCTTCCTCTAGTTGTTCCAGGCTGAGTGTGTGTGTGTGTGTGTGTGTGTGTAATTAACACGGTTTGCCTTTGAAGTCTTGTTTTAAATATTAACTGCAAATACACTTCGTTTGGAATTAAGCAAATAATCAGAAAATACAAGAAAACAACAAACATATCTGGACCTGTTGGAAAACTAAGTAAATGCTCGACTTTGTGGCCTAAATAAAAAGGTTTTGTCGTGAGTCTTTATGTTTATTTTTTTATTTTTCATTTATGATGAATGAAGCGAGGGGAGCGTCAGGTCTCAGTGCTCTTCTTTAACAACTCCAAATAAATGAGGGGAAATAAAGAGAGAGCCATTATCACCTGTGTGTGTGTGTGTGTGTGTGTGTGTGTGTGTGTGTGTGTGTGTGTGTGTGTGTGTGTGTGTGTGTGTGTGTGTGTGTGTGTGTGAGAGCATTTTCGATAAGCCCGAGTGTTTTACATAAGTATGCATTAGAAATAAACAGAAGATAAATAAATTACCCCCCCCCCCCCCCCCCCCCCACCCACACACACACACTGTAGCTGGGAGTTTAGCTTTTTTGGCAGAATTAATGGTTTCGACATGCAGGTAAATTTAAACTTCTTCAACTTGACTCAGTTTTATTTGTGAAACTGATATTTTTGTCCGTTTTTTTCATCCAAAATGTTTGATTTGCTTTAAACTAAATATTCTAAAAATATTTTCTGTTTTTGTTACAAAACGAACATTTGTTCTCCCACCATTATCTTTTAGATCAGCTAAGGTCACTGACTGTAAAAATAATTTATCACCATTTAGTCCCAAAGCAGCCCAGACTCCTCCGGTTTAGATAATTCAGACTTTCGTGTCCACACCCGCCCCAGTGCGCATGCGTACACCAGGTATATTCCCCCCACACCGTTTTTTATGACCAGGTGAGGCGATCCTGCAGTCTTGGTTAAAAAAAGTAAAGGTTTACTTTGAGACCGGAGGCTTAATTCGACAGACCGACTGGAAACAAACCACCGAAGGCAGCAGAAGACAAAGAATGTCAATTATGGGCAAAATGGGGGACTGGCAGGTATGTGCGTCTTCTGCTTGGAGACAGAAAAAGCGAAAACTGTTCAAATGTTGCCTTGTTGTTGTGGACTGCTGGGAAAGATCTGCGTAAAGTTGGGTAAAGTTCTTAGATAAGAAACAGTTAGAAGGGATTTTATTTTGAAAGGTGTTTGTGGAATCCCATAAAAGGTAGTTTGTGTTTATAGATGAGCACGTTTCAGATATAATGTGGTATAAAATGGTTTTATTATAAAGTGAGAAAGTGCAGCCATCAGCCCAGAGCGCGTTTCTTTGCGTAAAAGCGCACATTTAACGCGAAGACTCCGCACGTTTGACTCAGTTATTCAGACATAAAATCTTATTTATAAGGGGTGTTCTTTGCTGAAGTTAAACACTCCAGAAATAAAAAACTGGAGTAAGTCAGCCAGGCCAGATCTGCAGAAAAACGCTGCTTCTCTCCGCCAGTTTCGTCTCTATGGAGTCATTAATGACAACTGACTTGAAAGAGAAGAAACATAAAGAGCGGGTACTCCACCAAAAATGGTAATCCGTGTTTTAAACTAAAGAAGCCAACGCCTTTAGAGAGGGAGGGAGGGAGGGAGAGCTGCATGGCGACCTGTCTGCTGACCCACGACCTGCTGAGGTGAAGGCTCGGCCGGCGACAGGGCAGAACCTGGCTCCCCCAGCCGCTCATTCAGATGAAACAAGGCCATGTTGTTGTGTTAATTATTGACATTCCACAGAGCTGCTACCTTTGCAGGTACTGAGGACCTGTAGAGCCGCTCAGCCTCTTAGCATGAAAAAGAAGAGACGTCTCCGCTCTCAACGGGACAGAAATAACATTTAAGGTTTGAGAAAAAAAGAAGGAAAATCGAACAAAGTGTGACTTTTTTAAATTAGAAAATAGTTAAAAATGAGGAATAAACGTTAAAAATCTGGTATTTTTTTCAGATTTAAAGTAAAGTTGGATAAAAACGCAGAAACATCCCATAAATGTTAGAATTCACCTGAAGGTGCGTTCAGGGTCTCTTCAAAAACTCCTCACCGAGCAGAAAAATAAATAAACATGTGTATTTTATTATACCTGTCCATTGGTGTAGTGTGAGAGGTGGAGTGTGTGAGGAGGGTGGGGGTATCAAACCGCGGTTGATATGCTAATGAGGCCCTGTACCAGCATTATTACAGAGCTGCTCCAGCCTTCCACTTCCACCATTAGAGGGAGACCTCGGAGCGCAAACCACAGCTTCAATAAAACTGCTTTATTATTATTAGTTTTTCCTATTTTTCCTGCGCGGGGAAGGAACTAAATTCCCAGTCTGAGAGGAGAATTCTGGACTCCAAAAGCATCCCAGCAACCCATGAAAATGCTCTGGAAATTAACTGATAATATTAAATATGAAGACTGCGAGGTAAGGAATTTTAACTAAAATAAAGGAAAAAGCATTTTAGAATCAGTATTTTTTTCTTTAAAAAATGTCATGATAACTAATTAAAATGTGATTTTATTTAGAGTCATATGTGATATTTTTACAACTATATATTAACGATAATAATAAGAATTATTAATTATTATTAGAATTAAAATAATAATACAATTACCTTTAAATATTTTTGTAAAATCACATTTTTACTTAATTTATTAAATCAAACAAAAAATATTTATTAAAACAAATGTTTTATTTATTTTTAAAAATGAACATTTTTTGGGCCCAACACTAATTTCTTCATTACTTCTGTATTTTTATTTGGTTCTGTGTGTGCACGAGCAGCCCAGCGCATGTGTGCGTGTGGAGTGGAGTGTTTTGGACATAGACAAAGTTTGGCAGAAACATCAGTTACTTGTTTTAGGAGTGGAGAAGCCAGTCGGACGTGTTTTTCACTCGCGCCCGCGCGCAGGGACAGACTGGGAGCTGGAAAACAAAAACAAGAGAAAAGGAAAGAAAGAAGAAGAATCTCCTCGTTTCAGCTCTTTTGGGTTATTCCTGCTTGTATCGGTGACAAAAAATAAAAACAAATCAATACATTTGCATCCGGTGATGAACGAGTGTGCCGTAATTTAGTTTAGACAGGAAGTGGAAGTGTTTGCGCCGTGCGTAAAAATGACCCAAGTTGCGCATCGGATCCAGAAGGCCTTATTTAAATTTTAAAAAGGGAATTTTTATTTCCTCGTCTCATCCGGGTGAGAGTGACTAGCCGGCGTGAGTCTGTGATCAGAGTCGTGGAGGAGCGCAGCGCCATGGAGGAGGACAGTGCGTCGGACTCGGAGTTGGAACACAAAGGGACCTACGGTCGAACCGAGCCGGTCGGAGCAGCTTCAGAGGTGCACACTAGCTCTCCTCTTGTCTCCAGTCCTCCCTTCATTCTTTTCTTGTACTTTTTTGGCCCCTGGTACTCTTTTAAAACGCCCCCCTCCTCCACTTACTCACCCCCCTCCCCTCCTTCCCTGCGCCTGATTCGTCAAACAGGGAGTGAATGTCCCTCTTTTTGTGTCTCCCTCCCTCCACTTCCCTCCACACACTCTCTCTCTTTCTCTCCTCGGTCCCCACATCTCTGATTAGATATACTGATTCCTCCTTTCAATGGACGTCATTTAAACACAGACTCCTGCCTCGAGTTGCGTCCTCCTCTCCTCCTCCGCCTGATCTCCGACTCCTTCTGGTTTCCTTCCTCCTGTTCATTGACTATTCCTGCAAGATTAATAGTCATGAACGTGTCTCGTTAGAGGAGTCCGAGGGGGAGACGCAGAAGCGGCTGTTTTCTTTTCTTTTTGGGGGGAGAATGAGCTCGGCGGGGACGGTGGAAGCGCTGTGACAGAAGCCGGAGACGCAGGGAGACAGAGCGGGTTCTACAGAGAGAAACTTTTCCCCACCAGCACCGACCTGCATCTGCCTTGATTTTGTATTTTTTTAAAGATCCAAATGAAGCGAAGCTCGGATTTTACCTTTTCTTTCTGATGGATTATCGTCTTGTTGTCGAGGCGCAGATCTGATCCTGCAGGAAAGAAGACTCTGGGGTGCCTGTTTTCGTTTTTATTCTTTTTTTCTTCCATTGCTGAATTCTCGTTTTTTATTTCTATTTTGTTGAGTCCCACCAAATATTTCACAAATGTTAGTGCACAGCTTTTCCGCGATGGTAAGTTTTCTGGAGCTTGATCGTGGTTTTTTCCCTCTCTGCTTGTTATTCTTCTTAAACTCTTAGAAATAAAAATGATTATGTTTTTTGGATCATGCATGTCGAAAAAGAAAAGAGCTGGGATGTTATTCTCCATCTGGAATTATTATTTTATTATTATTTCCAGGGTTTATCATTCATTTATTTCTTGGATGGTGTGTGTGCGTGTGTTTGTGTGTGTGCGCGCGCGCGTGTGTTTGTGTGTGTTTAATTTAATTTTGTTTTATTGTAGCATTATTTCTATGCGCTCAGTCCATTTTGTGCTTCTGCTGCATCCATTGGCTAAAATAAGATTTAAAAAATGGACATTTGAGGTATTTATGAAATTAAAACGCATTTAGATTAAAGGTGTGTTCTTCCCTCCTCTGCCAGGACCGTCACGACGGCACCAGCAACGGGACAGCCAGGCTACCTCAGCTGGGCGGCGTGGGCCAGAGTCCCTACACGAGCGCTCCTCCGCTCTCCCACACGCCAAACTCGGACTTCCAGCCCCCGTACTTCCCCCCGCCCTACCAGCCCATCTACCCGCAGTCTCAGGACCCCTACTCGCACGTCAACGACCCGTACTCCCTGAACTCCCTGCACGCTCAGCCGCAGTCGCAGCATCCGGGCTGGCCGGGCCAGAGGCAGAGTCAGGAGAGCGGCCTGCTGCACCAGCACCGCGCTCTGCCCCACCAGCTGTGCCGGGAGTACCGCAGAGACGTGCTCCTACAGTCCGGTCACGGGCTCGACACGGGACTGGACTCTATCCCCATCCACGGAATACCTCACTCTTTAGAAGACGTCCAGGTGAGGCAGTTTTTTTATTTTAAATGTCAACAATTATCACATTTATTCATGATTATTAGGCATTAGATCGAATTTGTCCGCTGATTTAATTATAATAATTGAAATTAAGATTTAAAAGATAAATACATTTGAACATTTGGATTTTTCAACAAACAAACGATGTATTCTTACTGCATCAGAACGTAAAACAAACCCATGCGTAATTCCTTATCCAGAATGATTTTTTAAAAGACATTTTTTTTTATTTCTAAGGGCCCCGAAACAAAAAGCTGAGCCTCTCCATGCACAGCGATAACACCATGACACTTTGCAAAGCGCACTAACGAGAGAATTGAGTTTGCTGTATTGAGTTTTGGGACCTCTGCGATCGCTAAAGACGCCTGATGAATGAATGAGGCCTGAGTCCATCAATAAGCGCAAGCGCGCGCGCTCATTTTGAGATTTTCTCCCCAGTTTTTAATCAGAAACAAACAGCTATATCTCTAATTAGTTCATAGGCCTTTAATAGGCTGCACCGCCGTAATTACTAACCAATCTGGATGAGAAGTTCCGTGTGAGGGGAGCCAATCTGCAAAAAGGAGGTCAGGATTATGGGGTGATGTGCTTTCCTTATTTAAGTCTTAGTTCAGATCTGGAAACTCGGATAATAATACTTTATTAATTATAACAGCAGGTAAATAAATAAATAAGGCCTTTCGGTTGTGCTCCTTGTTGCTTTAGCGCTTTGTTCATGTGCAACCTCTTTAAAATCACATGTTTCTGTGCGTAATTCGTGCTAAAATTGCACCTTTTTTGCATTTGTGTCACAGCCTGTTGAGGATCAAGGAATCCACATTCCCGACCAGACTGTAATTAAAAAAGGTAAGCAATTTCCTCTGAGATATCTTGCATTTTTTTCTTCAAGCTTCTCACACACACACACACACACACACACACACACACACACACACACACACACACACACACACACACACACACACACACACACACACACACACACACACACACACACACACACACACACACACACACACACACTTCCATTCTGCTCCAAAGAGCTCGATGCAATGTGGTAATGCCTGACTGATCCTAATACGCAGCACAGCCTATTTTTCATTACATGCTTTCCAAGTGCATCAAACTGGCTGCACCTTTTTCTTTCTCTCTTTTTTTCCTCCTTCTCCTCCCCGATGATGGAATTTACTGTCAGCGTTTCGGCGCAGCAGGGAGATGAGTGGAGCTGCTGGGGCTTTGGAGGCCTCAGCTATAGATGGTCAAAGACGCGCAGAGACGACCCGGGCACACTTTTTAGGAAGCAATATGCGCAATTACGCAGCATGGATAAATGTAAAATGGAAGCTGTCACCCGCTGGACAGAGCGTGTGTGCAGGATTTCTGTGCAGCGTTTAGGAGAGCATACGAAAATGGGAAATTTGAACTAAATTTTTTTTCATCTATTAATGAATAAATCTACCATGGATTAGATTTTTACACTCTTAAAGGCTCAGATTAATAAGATCCTGGGATATATTTTTGCTTCTCTTCTATATTATTTTTTCCTAAAATTTCTGCAATTTTTCCAAATTTCTAAATTTTTTCTTTCAGACTCAGCCCATCTGCACATTCACGTGATAATTGGCTTCTTATATTAGTAATCTCAAGAGTTCGTTTAGCTCCCATTGTCTCTATTAGGCTCCCTTGAGCCATTAATGTCACAAGTGATCTATCCAAAGGCGCACAGTCCCCCTTTGTCTCCGGTTACTGCGCACCAAAACGGCCTGCCACAACTGCGCGTTCCCCTCCTCCCTCACAACACCCCCCCCACCCCCCCACCCCCTCGGTGTGAAATCACACACGGGCGACGGTGTTTTTGCTGGAAAATGACGATGAGTCAAAAAAGGTGGATTTTATTGAAAAGAGCGCTTTTAAAAATGTTTTTTAGGCTGTTGGTTCTCACCAAATTATTACTTATTTTATTATTATTATTATTATTATTATTATTATTGTTGTTGTTATTGTTATTGTTGTTATTGTTATTATTATTTATGTGATCGATGCAGAAGTTCTTCTTCATTTACTTAAGGCTCTGCATTGCAGGAAATTCACTGACCACGCGCTCTCTCTCTCTCTCTCCCCTCCCTCCCCCCGGTCCTATAGGTCCGGTGTCTTTATCCAAGAACAACAGCGTCTCCGCCATCCCCGTAAATAAGGACGGTCTTTTCGGAGGGGTGGTTAACCCAAACGAGGTGTTCTGCTCGGTTCCGGGTCGCCTGTCTCTCCTCAGTTCCACATCAAAGTACAAGGTCACGGTGGCAGAGGTGCAGAGACGCCTCTCGCCGCCCGAGTGCCTCAACGCCTCTCTGCTGGGCGGGGTGCTCAGGAGGTGAGTCTGACTTCACAAAAAAAAAAAAAAAGAAAAAAATCTTCTTTCACCTGTGTTTGCGTGCACGCGCTCTCCCTCCGGCCTGTGAGCGCGCATCCCTCTCTTTTTTCCTCTCCTCTGTATCAAGAATAATTAAAATCGACCAACCATGACACCTAGCTCCTGCATTTAGAGCAGGAGGGGTCTGTTAAATTCCATATTAACACCCCCCTCCCCCCTTTCAAATTAATGTAGGCCTAGTCTGTTTCAAGCAGCTCTGCAGACCCAGTGAAGGCATTACACATGAAAACATTGGTCTCCAGTGAAATGCCGACTGAAGTGCTGCAGACACGCAGCCAGTAATAGCTCAGCCTATTAACTAGGACTTTATTTATTCACTTTGTGCTATAAGTCCGCTGGTAATCAGGCTGCGGCTCTATTTTGATCGTATTTATTGCTCATGTGCAGATTTGAACGTCTCAACTTCAATATGAAAGCCATCCATATTTTTTTTGTCAATTCTCTGGCTGTAATTTTGTTTTTCCATCATATTTCTGTCAAATTTAGATGAATTCCTGCATATGAATGAATTTCTTCTTTGTTTTTGCGTCTCAGGGCCAAGTCCAAGAACGGAGGGAGATCCTTGAGGGAGAAGTTGGATAAAATCGGCTTAAATCTACCTGCGGGGAGACGCAAGGCAGCCAACGTCACCTTGTTGACGTCACTAGTGGAAGGTAAGTCGTGGTGCCGTAAATCCTATACTTAAAAAAATATATCCCTTCTCTCTCTCTCTTTTCCTCCCTCTCTTTTTTCCCTCTGTGTTGGAAATCAGCATATGCGCTCATCCGTGTAATGTGGACCGACTTTGCCTCGCAAGTAATAAAGCATGAAGGATGTGTATGTGTGTGAGAGTGTGTATGTGTGTGAGAGTGAGTGTGTGTATGTGTGTGTGTGTGTGTGTGTGTGTGTGTGTGTGTGTGTGTGTGTGAGAGAGAGAGAGAGAGAGAGAGAGAGAGAGAGAGAGAGAGAGAGAGAGAGAGAGAGAGAGAGAGAGAGAGAGAGAGAGAGAGAGAGAGAGAGAGAGAGAGAGAGGTGCTGGTTGTGGCTCTGCTGCGTTATTGGCTTCCTCTTTCAGGAGCGCACTTCCAGGCTGGCCTAGTTTATCCTCCGGATTAATTTGTGTTGAAGTCCAGTTAATTATTGAGTGCTGCTTGTTTATTGGCCACCGCCGAGCTCTTTCACCTCATGGATGAGGAGTCGATTGATTGCACCCTGCATTAATACAAGTCTGAATATAGTAGATTTCTCGCCCTTCTCTATCCCTTGTTTTATTATTTTTTTACTTCCTCCTTTAATGGCTCCCCATGCTTTCTACTTTTCCATCGAAGATTTGTATTGCATGCAAATGCGTCGCGCTGACCTATGGAGATCTATGTTTTGGGCCTATTAAAGAATAAATTAGGCAATTATTGCGAGCAGACGAGATGCTTTTTTCCTGGATAAATCCATTTGGCTCGCATGCAGAGCTGAGCCTTATTATTCAGTGCGGTGGTATTTTGGTGCGCTGCAGGTTTTCAAAAGGTGAAGGCTCGCTTTGGTTCATTGGACCCTGTTAATCATTATTGCAGACTCTGGAAACACATGTTAATTTTTTTGTAGAGAAAAGTTTGATTGTGGAGAAACGGAGAGGTTTTAGGAGGTGGATCAGTCCCATTTTGGGGAAAATGGTTTACTGGATTCGAGCTTTGATGCTAATTGGCGCGTGCGTTCTTCCGGAGCAGAGGCTTCTGGGACAGGAAGCTCCACAGTAAAAAAAAAGTGCTTCAGGAAATTAAATCCAAAGACTCTCGAAAAGCTCCAGTGAGTCCAGTTGTCATGACTGACAGATCAGGACGCTTTATGATCATCTGTGCGCCATTATTGTCCTCCTCTTCCATGGCGCTGTTTGGGAACGCACAGGTGCCATAACCCTGCTGTCTGAACGTGTAAACACAACCGGACGCTCTGCTCACCTCGCATTAATCACGTGCTCATAAAAGCATCGGGACTGTGAACGTGTATTTGAACACGTTTAATAAGAATTCTCGTATTTTATGTGTTTCCATCATTTTTGTGTCTCCCAGGAGAAGCGGTGCATCTCGCCAGGGACTTTGGTTACGTTTGTGAGACCGAGTTTCCAGCCAAGGCAGTAGCTGAATATGTAAACCGGCAGCATTCCGACCCAAACGAACAAGTCCAAAGAAAAAACATGCTATTGGCCACGAAGTAAGTGTTTATGATGGCGTCACACACACACACACACACACACACACACACACACACACACACACACACACACACACACACACACACACACACACACACACACGCACACGCACACACACACACACACACACACACACGCACGCCGGGTTGCGCCAGTATGGGCACCAATGTGCTCATTTGGCAGCTTGCACGCATAACACATATTAATAAAATGCGCATTTTCATTTTAACGAGGTGGTTTTAGCGCGTTAGAAATAGATTATTCTTTTATTTAGAGATTAGAGTGAGGTCAGGTACTTGTGTTGTGGTTGTTTACATGTTTATGAAGCCCTGTCATCTGTTTCTCCGGGGAGTCCCAGCTTTAAGTGCTGCTTCATTCAGACCAGACAGAACAGCGTCACATGCCTTTAAAAGGCTGATAAAATGCGCCAAAACCAGAAAATAATGGCTTAAATTGCATTTTTCTTTTTTATTTTGGGAGAAACACAATATCATATTTTAAAATGTATAATTTAAACTTTGTTTATTTTCTAAAACAAGAATAGATTTAGATATCTGGGTTTCATTTTCACCTGTTTTTGGACGTTTTGTGCGGGAAATAAACGAACCAGGTGGACTTTAACATGTGATTCAAAACGCGGCTTAATATTTTCTCCTTAATAATCCCGCCTTTTCTGCTTTTTTTCTTTTTTAAGGCAAGTGTGCAAAGAGTTCACAGACCTGCTGTCGCAGGACCGCTCGCCCCCTGGGAAACTCGCGGCCACAGCCCATCCTGGAACCGGGAATCCAAAGTTGTTTGACCCACTTCAGCCTAATCTCGCACGGCTTCGGGACCCCGGCGCTGTGCGCGGCCGTCACGGCCCTCCAGAACTATCTAACCGAGGCGATCAAAGCCATGGACAAAATGTACCTCAACAACAACCCCAACAGTCACTCGGACAACGGCACTAAAGGTGGAGACAAGGACGAGAAGCACAGAAAGTGATGTCTCCATGTTTTTCCTCACACTTGGGGCCAAAAATAAAAAAAAATAAAAATAAAAATAAACAACTGGACCCATCTTCTGCTCCTACCCCCCCCCCCCCCCATCGCCTCACCTGTCTCACCCAACCAGTACAAATATTATAAATACCTTATAAATATTACTGATAAACTTAAACCTGCACTTCCTGGTTCTGTTGTTTTTCCTCCACATGGATTCGATTGGAAACAAGAATCTTCTCCTTTCTTCACCTTTTTTTAGAGAAAAAAAGAAACTGAAAATAAATAAATAAATAAAAAAGCTGCAGAGGAACAGCTCCAGGGCGAGGGGAAGGTCCTGCCTCACCCAGAAGACTTCTCATGTCCTCCCCCTTTCTGTTCTCTTTTTTTTAACAAATGGACTGAAGATCCAGCAACCCGTCTATATATCTCAGATTGTGAGCAAACGGAGCTTAAAGAGGAGGAAATCTTATCAGTATTGTGAATAAAAGACTTGAAAAAATGAAAGAAAGAAAAAAAGAGAAACTCCACACATCTCCATGTCATGACTTCAGTTGTAGACTCCCACTCGTCCTCTGAGCGACCAACTTGAACTTTATTTTTATTCTTTGAATTTCAACACGATTCACGATTATATAAGGGAATCAGTGTTCATGTGTGTATATATTTATTTATGTGTAATTTAATGGGAATTGTAAATATGGTGCGTCTGTTGAAACTTCCTTTTTTATTTATCTGGTGCCTCCTGTTTTAGTGGGTTTTTGAATATTCAGTTAGTTCTTCATGTGATTTTATGGTTCTAGAAAACACGTTTTGGGGTATTTTTATTTTACTTTTTCATTTTCTCTGGGATATTTCAATTCAGCCCTCTTGTAGCATGTTGAGCGTGACACTGAAGCAAGTGAACAAATAGAAAATAAACTTCCCTTTCTCTCTCTCTCTATCATCCTATTCAGTTGTTTTCTTTTGAACTGAAACAAGAGCAGAACTGAGACCCCTGAGGAGAATTATTTGAAATCTTTGTTATTTTTAGTGTGTCTATTTTCATTTTAAACAAGCTTTTATGTGTTGTGCCAATCTGAACCCCCCACATTCTCTTCTTGAAGCACCATAAAAGCAATAAATGGAATATTGTCTTTTTTTCAGTGTTCAAAAAAAATCATTCAAAATTTTTATTTCTAATTTTTTTAAAGGGGACCACCTGATATCTTGTCATGTCCGATTATGTCCAAACCTGGAGGCGGTTTTAGCTGTATTGTATAGACATGTGCTGGCAATAGTCCCTCTGCCTGTCTATGTATTATAGTCCTTTGTTGCCCAGAAAAAATAAATATTTGATACGCTTCATCTTGATTTTTTAAAATACTTACAGTTTTTTTTCACATTTTATTATTTTTCGTTTCCCCCTTATTCTAAACATATGGTAATTGACGTTAAGCCTCCTTGATGATTCCACTTTGCAAGAAGCTGCTTTGTTTCCCTTTTTAATAATAAAAAACCTCTTTCTAGTTCAGAGTTGGATCTGTGCAGGCCAAATGGCTGCCATCAATGGATGTGTGCGCGTTTGAAGCGCGCGCACCCCTCCCCCCATACAGCTAAACGCCTCTGAGGTACATGCAACGTTGTTGCAGGTTGTTTGGCTCGTTTCTTCTTATCCAAAGCATCACATATTTGTTATGTTTGCTTCTCATTGTTGTCAGCTGCTTATTTTAAAAGCAGAAAAAATCTTATCTCCTCGGACTGGTTGATATTTTTGCAGCCTTTTTGGCAACATCCTTCCAGTTTTTTGCCCTCAAAGAGCTCCAGTTGCATAACATCTGAGTTGAAAGAGTGATTGGAGTCAATCTAGAGTATTTTTGCATCTTGCTTTTACACATCACATTGTCTGGTATCCATGCAGTTTGGGATGGGAGACTCTTCCTCTTCTCATCTCCTCTTATGTCCTATTCTTCATGCTTTGCAGGGCTTTTGCTTTAATTCGGAGCCAGTGTTGTTCTGCAGGAGAGTGAGTGAAGCCTAACTGTACATGTCCTTGGCGTATAATTGCGATGCAGAGTGCCGGAGCAGGTGAAGCGCGGCATTGTCTGTCAGGGCCTGTTTTTGTTGGCTCAGTCCTCAGATTGTGTGTGGGATCCTGTCCTCAGGCGCAATAGCTCACTCATAAAGGGGAGCGACTGCACGGCTGCTCCTGCTATGGTGGAATAGTCACTTTAAGGGTGAAAACAATCGTATTAAAAGCAGCATTCATCGGTATTAAGGGAGGGGGTCATTAATGCTAATGTTGTTTAATAAATTTATCAGGAAGAAAACATTTTGAGGGTGAAACGAACGCATTAGTGATAGTGGCGCGTGGGACAATGGTGACTATATTATTGCTATTATTCTTACGCACCAGCGAGGCCTTTAATCGCGTGTTTCTTTGGAATCCTTTTATTTTTGTTCATTTTTTATTTGTTTATGACGCCAGACTGAAATTAGCACGCCCAGTTTTTAGTGAGAAATTGTATTGTTTTCTCTAATTTGATCTAGAACAGATAGAACTAGTTTCTCGGAAGCTTCACTAGCAAAACAAATGAATGAATAAATAAATAAATAAATAAATAAAATAAAATAAAAAATAGCCTGGAGAAGTGAAGAGCCAGTCAGCAAAACCCAGCGGAATTTGGATAATTCAATCCATAACTGTTGCTTGTCTCAACTAAACCAATTACAGCATAAATAAGTGAGGCCTGTTATTATCAAATGTTCTGGAGAAAGTGCTGAAAACTCACGTTCCCTTAAGAAAGAAGTATTCTTTATGTTTTTCATGCATCCATATGTAGGCTCTATGCAGGAAAAAAAACGGTAACACCCATCTCTCCCGCCGCAAACGAGTCTGTGCGCAAAGACCAAAGCTGATAAATGCCGCACAAAATTATTTTTTAAGCTAAAATGAAGCATTTTTGGGGATGTGCTAAACAAATGTTTATTTACAGTTATTTTAAGATGCAGGTCTCCTCATATTGATCACTTTCTGCCGCGCGTAACTGTTTCCATTAAAAAAACTGCGCGTAAAAGCTGCGCAAAAGCCTCATCCTTTTTACGCGCCAGAGGGTTTCGTTTTCTTTTCTCTGTCTGTCTCTCTCTCTTTTTGGTCAGGAAGTGTTTAGTTGATGCTGCTGAGATCACTGCTCTGTCTGCATGGCCTAATTAGCCCGTAGCGGCATCACAACATGCGCGCCTGGCGCTTGGAGGCTTTGGAGCTGCTTGGGAAGATTTAGGGCAACAGATAAGGCCCAGATTTGTTCACATCTGCTGACTGAGACTTTATGTTTGCGTCAAGCCCAGGCTGTCTATCTGACATTTAAACTGTTGGCCTTGAATGTTGGAGATTGACGGGATTGTTGGGAGATTTATTTTATTTTATTTAGTTTTATTTATTGTGCAGCGCTTGAGGAGAAATATTTGGGATTAGCGTTCCACGCAGACTTGGAGAGTTTCTCCTTATTGATGGAACAGAGTGTTTTTATAGGGACTAAACGTGTTGATGTTCTAGGAATGCTAAGACAGCCCAAAGCCTAAAACA